TTATTTTTTATTTTTTTAAAATATATTTTTATTGATGTCAGAGAGGAAGGGAGAGGAAGAGAGAGAGAAAAACATCCACGATGAGAGAGAATCATGGATCAGCTGCCTCCTGCACGCGCCCCACTGGGGTCACACCCGCAACCCGGGCCTGTGCCCCCCCCCACCCCCCGGAATGAACTGTGACCTCCGGGTTCCCAGGTCGCCGCTCAGCCGCTGGGCCAGGCTGCCCCCCACACCGGCCCTCCGCCCAGGCCCAGGCCCTACTAGTAAAAGAGGCAGCACTTGGTTGGCAGAGCCGCGCGTAACGCAGGCAGCCGGGGTCTGGCGGCTCCTGTCCCAACTCGGAGCTGTCGCCACGCGAGGCTCAACCCCCCACAGCGCGCCGTGCGTCTCACGGGGCCCGGTTCCTCCAGGGCCGCCTCTGCCCAACTCCTCGCTCCTTCAGCAGATCCAGGCCGGAGCCTGCAGCCCCGGGTAGGAACTGCCGATGCAGAGCGGTCACCGGGGAGCTGGGGACCCCCCTCCCTCACTGGGCTGCCTCCTGGAGCCGGCGTGTGGCTGTGGGGGTGACTATGGGGTGTGGCCTAGGGGCGTGGTTGTGGAGGGCGTGGCCACAGGGCATGGCTGCGGGTGTGATTGGGGGCGGGGCTGAAGAGGGCGGGGCTTAGGGGCATGGTTCCAGGTGTGATTGAGGGCGGGGCTTAGGGCATGACTGGGGCGTGGCTGCAGAGGAGAGACTCTGACCCCTTTGGCAGGCCCTGTGGACCCTGGAAGCTTCTGTTTGACTCCAGAGAGACACAATAATAGGTGAGGGCTTTTAAATTCACCCGGCGGCCTGGGCAGGCCCCAGGGCCTCTCCTGGAGGCGCCTTTATGTCCAGGTGGAGAGCGCGAGGCCCCCACAGCTGAGAAGGACCCAGGAACCGGGAGGTCACGGTGCGATGCCCAGTCGGGGCGCAGGCTCGGGTGGTGGGCTGGACCCCAGTGGGTGGCGTGCAGGAGGCAGCTGGTCCATGATGCTCTCTCATCACTGATGTTTCCATCTCTCTCTCTCTCTCTCTCTCTCTCTCTCTCTCTCTCTCCCCCCCCCCTCTCTCCCCCTCTCCCTCTCCCTCCCTTCCTCTCTGAAGTCAATAAAAATATATATTTTTTATAAAAGCTTGAAGCCATCACCACGGAGGCTGAGTCTCGGTGGGGGAGACGGTGGCGGGGAGCCTCGCGCCTCCTGGGTGGCAGGTCCCTGCACGGGGAGGCCCCAGGGTCCCCTCCCCTGTCACAGAGCCGGCGGGGACAGCGGGTGCCGCTCTCACCCCAACAGGCCGACTTGCTGAAAGCCCCCGGGGAGCTTTGACTTCAGACATGGACAACCCGGGCGGGGCCCCAGAGATGGCCGAGGGCCCTGAAAGCAAACCGCTCTGGAGGCTTCCGCCAGCCCCGCCATTCCTCCTCGGGGGACACAGCAGCCCTGGACAGAGGCTGAGAAGCGGGGGTGTCCTCTCGCTGGGTGCTCCCTCAGCCCCACCTCCACCCCGCCCGGCCCCTCCCTCCTCCTTCCTCCCCACCTCCTCTCGTTCCCCTCCCTTCTTTCTTCCTCTGCACAGGAGCCTCTCAGCTTGGCATTCCTCATGCTGGGCTTTCGAGGCAGACACTCACGCATCCTGTAGGGACCTGCAGGCGGCCGGGCAGCCACGGGCAGCGGTGGCTGCAAACCGGTGGCCCGGCCCATGGCAGGAGCCAGGGCTGTGACAGCAGGGGAGGCGGCAGGAGAGCGGGCAGCCGCCTTCCCGGTGTCTCCTGCTCCCTGGGGGCTGCCCTGGCCTTCAGTCGTCCAGCCCCTGCCTCTCTCTCCGTCTAGAACGGGCCTGGGAATGGCTTGCGTCCCAGATGAGAGGTTTCCTGCCGAGATTCCTTATCTCTGGAAGGTCCCCAGGCCTGCGGAGCCAATTTGGGGAGCATTCAGGGCCCGCGGGGCAGAACGCAGCAGATGCCCACTGTGATTGTGTGCGCTTGGCATTCCAGGGCAGGGGCTGGCAGCAGGATTTGTATGAAGCATTGCGGCTTCTGGGTTTAATTTAAACTGTATTCCGACATTGTGCACATGTGCCCAGAGGCTCTGAGGCTGTGAGGGAGGCTGGCATGGTTTAAGCAGGGCTGTGTGGGAGCAGGGACCTGACCTGGCAGACCCCCGGGGGCCTGGAGCTGCTGTAGGCAGGAGAAGGAGTCCTGAGCCCTGACATCTGGGGGGGGGGGGGGGGGGGGGGGGAGGTGTCCAGGTGTAAACCATCTCTTCCTTCTGAGCTAGGGAGGCATTGCTGTCCCATTTTATGGATGAGGAAACTGAGGCTCAACAGGGTCCCATGACGAGGTTAACACACGTTCTGCCCACGTGTCCCCTTCACGTTCCCGGTATGAAATACGGAGAAGGCATTGGCGTTGAAGCAGATGGAGGTGACCAGCAGGGGGCGCTCCCTGGAGTTGGTGAGGGTGTTCCTGTCCGTGGATTGTGGGTGAGCAGGAGGGAGGGGCCATGTGCAGGGGAGACTGTATTTCCATTCCTGGACACCACGGTGGAGTGAGGAGGAGGGGAGAGCGTGGAGTGAGGAGGAGGGGAGAGCGTGGGGAGGTGAGGCTGGGCGCGCGCAGACCCCGAGGTTGGATATGGTCCTCCAGGGGTGACGAGGACAGGGAAGCCAGTTTCCGGGCAGGTGGGTGGAGTGGGGTGCGGGGGGTGGTGGTGGGAGGAGGGAAGCGCTGAAATGAGGGGAGTTGCTGGCAGGAGGGGCTGTGCCAGTGCCATTGGCACAGACACGGGAGGTCGCCGAAGGCGGAGACGCAGTGAGCCGTTCTATCCCGTTTCAAATAGTGTGGTTCTCGGTTTAAGATCGAGAGGACATTAGCCGCTAAGAGCTCTTCCTCTTTTCTAGGTCCCGGCAAAAAGCTTGTGTCCGACGGGACTTTTGCTGCTTTTGTGTTCGGTAAGTTCCTGTAAACCATCAGGAACTTCTCCACGGAGGCCTGCTGCCTCCCACGGTCACTCGCTCGTGCCACGGCCTGTCCCGGCCTCTGGGGTCCGCGGGGGCCCCTGAGGGGTGCGGTCCTACCTGGGGCCTGTCCTGCGTGGGGCCTGGGGGTCTGATTTCTCAACAGTTTTCACAGCAGCATCTTCTCATTCACAAACGGAATATCTGGAGCCCAGGCCACTTTCTCAGGTCAACCTGAAGGTGACGTCACAGCAGGGAGGTGACAGTGAAGAGAGAGCTGAGTGGCCGGGGGAGGAGGGGCCTCGGGCCAGGGGGCCAGGATCTAGGAACGAGGCTTGTCTGCGGAGCACAGGGGCAGAGCACACCTGCTAAGATCACCCGCGAGGGGCTGGTTGTGCAGTCCCGCGATAGAGGGCATTACAGACCTTAAACCACCACCTCGCCGAGGGTGACGCGCGGAAAAACCCTCCAGCTTCGTAGTTGCCATAACAACTTCGTATCTCTTTCCATGAGCATCCGTCTCCAGGCTGTATTTTTAGCAACGACTGTGTCAGAGCGTGTACTTTTTTAAAATATAGCAGCTAATTTTTCAAATGACCAATCTTAAAAAATAGAACAATCCCGCCTTCATTCTCTCTGGGTGTAACAGTCTCAGGGGTAGTGAGGGAGATGAGCAGGTGGGGACGTTCGCTATGAAAACACTGTGAAAGGATTGGTCCTCACATCTGTTCCGACAGAATGTCCTCTGGATCCGTGTCAGGCAACGTCACATGGCTCTTCCCTGGGGGGCTCACAAGTACTGGGAAGCGATTGGCGCGGGAAGGTGGGTGAGGCTATCTGGCAAGCCCAGGTGTGGGCTGTGAAATAGCAATTAGCTTGGGGCACCCGGTGTCAGGAAGGAATGCGGTGGCTCACCTTCGCTACACAAACGCACGGCCCAGGAGGGCAAGCGTGGAGTGACGTTCCAGACGCCATGGGAAGGCCCGGGCGCCAGGAGGGGTGCTGAGCGGCCGCCACCGTTTCCAGATTTGCCTCCGCGGCGACACCCAGCTGGGCCGTTTGCTTGCTTAATTGATTAAAATTTTTATTTTATTTTATTGATTTTACAGGGAGAGGATGGAAGAGGGAGAAACATCAACATGGATCGGCTGCCTCCTGCACGCCCCACACTGGAAATCGATCCTGCGACCCAGGCCTGTGCCCTGAGCGGGAATCGAACCCTGACCTCCTGGTTCCTAGGTTGACACTTGACCACTGAGTGACACCGGCAGGGCAAGAAATGAGTTTTTAATGCCCGACTTCCCGCCTGAAGGGCCCACACAACGCTGTCCGAGGGCAGAGGCACCTTCTCAAAGGCGTGAGCGCCCCCCCACCCCCTGCCCTGCCTGGGTGGGGGTGTGGCCTGTGACCACCAGGCCACCGGGGACACTCCACGTTCTCACCTTCAGCCCCTCAGAGTCACCTCACGGGGGAGAGGGCCCCTCCAGGGTCGCTAGGCTCGGGCCCCAGGGACACTGTGCTCCTCTGACCCCTGGTGACCTGGGGCCTCAGGAATTCCGTCCCAGTTCCTGACCCAGGATCAGGGTCCGGGGCGGGGTCTGTCTGCCCAGCACGGCTGCCCAGCTCCACTTTGCTGAGGGGCCTGGTGAGGCCTCTCTGTGAAGGCGGGTCTCCAACCTGTAACACGAAGCCTCCACTCCTCCAGTCCTGAGCCGGGTGAGGCCGGCCCCAGCAGGGCACTTCCCTGGCGGGGGTCCGGGTGCCTGGAAGGGCGTGGGGGGGGGGACAGGGCGGGGGCGGGGGTGGTGGTGGTTTGGAGATAGTTACTGGGAGGGCGATCCTCCCTTACCTGCCTCCCAGGGCCAGCCCAGCGAGGTTGGAGGGGGAAGGGAGGGAGGAGGGAAGGGCGGGGCCGGCCCCCTGCGCTTGCCCGCCCCGCCTGGCGGGTCCTTGCCCGCCCCTTGCCCGGCCCAGCCCAGCCCAGCCCAGCCCAGCCCAGCCTGGCCCAGCGGGCCGGTCACACGCGCCACCGGCCGGCAGCTTCCCAGCCCCGGTGCGCCCCTGCCCTGCGCCCCTGCCCCGCGCCCCTGCCCCGCACCCCGCGCGCCTCCCACGCACGCCCTGCGCTCCCGGCCACCGAGCGCCTCCAGGTCGCGGGGCGCAGTGGGCATGGCCCGCTGGGGGCCCTCCGCGCTGGCGCTGGCCCTCGCGCTCCTGGAGGTGGCCCTGCCGGGGGCTGGGGCCCAGGGCGCGGCCCTCGAGGACCCCGGCTACGACGTGCAGGACACCTGGAGCCAGGAGCCCTACTATGCGCGCGGGGAGCCGGAGCCCGAGCCCTTCTCCCCGCGGCTGCCCGTGGGGACCCTGGAGGAGGCGCAGGAGCCGCACCCACCCGCGCCCAGGCCGCCCAAGAAGGCGACCAAGGCCAGGAAGGCGCCCAAGAGGGAGAAGCTGGCTCCTGAGACGCCTCCGCCGGGTAAGGAACGCGCTGCGCTGCACGGGGCGGCCGAGGGGGCGCCCATGGCCCTGCCTCCCGGTGGAGGGGGCCGCCCGAGTCTGCGGGACCGGATGGCTGGCTTCCCGGGTCTGCGTCTGGGATGAGAGGGCCCTCGAGCGCCTCCTCGCTGCCCCCCAGCCTCTGTGGAGCCTGCACTGCGCACCCCGAGGCCCCTCGCAGTTCCCGGGAGCTTAGACCTCACGGGCACCTGACTGGGCGAGGCAGGGCAGTTGGGCAGCTGCCCAGGGAGTGGGGTACCCCTTGCGCCAAATGTGAAGTGTCCTGCTGGACACTCTCCTCCGCCTCCTCTCAGCCTCCCCCCAGGGCGCTTTCATGAGGGTGAGTGTCTGATTTGGGGGTGTGAACGGCTGGTGGTTGGGCTCCATGGCCTCTGGAGCAGCCCATGGCCCCTCTCAGCTGCCTCCCCACCTCCTGTTCTGGGGGTCCCGGAGCCTCTGCGCAGCTGAGGATGGCAGAGGCCCTGCTGGGAGCGGGGGCAGCCGGTCCTGGTGCCTTCCCTGCACTCCTCCTTCCACCCTCTGGTACCCCCACTCTCCAGCCCCGTCTCTCACTCCTCGCGTGGGGGCTCTCTCAGTGGCTCCCAGGGTCTCGGGGCCAGTGGCACCGGCTCTGTCCTGTGTTTCCAGGCTGGGAGCGAGCGCCCAGGCCACATTCTCAGCTGGCAATGGCCCTCCCCAGTCCGGCGATGGGCAGGTGGCCCTCACAGCCCTGCTCGGAGGGGAGGAATCCCCGGTTGGGTTAGATGGTTCAGGAAGGTCTGCGGTGAGTCTGCGGAGGGGGAGGGGGCGGGGGGGATGGAGACTCAGCTCCTGCCCTGTGGACCCGTGTCCACAGCCCCTGTGCACGTGCTCCGGGCAGGGCTGCCCCTGAACTTCAGTTCCAGGCAACTCTGTGAGTCAGCGGGCAGCTCTGGGGTTGTGTCGCCCTGGACAGAGCCTCCCAGAATTCGCAGTACTCTCTGCAGAGTGATAGGCACTGAGCTGTGGACAGGTGGGTGGGACGGGAGTGGGAAGAGACTCTCATATCGGCAGGACACCTTCTGGGGCCCCTCGGAGCCGCAGGCGTAGGCGTCTCGGCGAGCCCTCCCGTGGCCCCGAGTGGGCGGCCATGTGCCTCTACAGGCGGGGACGCCGGGGCTCCGACAGGTCACCCGCTCGCGGTCAGTTGCTTGGAGATTTGTGTTTTCCAGCACAAGGCTTCTTTCTGTTCTCTCATCTGCATCCAATTTGCATGTGTTTATTTTACTTCAGGGGAAGACACGCATGCTGCCTGGTGTTTACTGGGGGTGGGGGTGGGGGTGGGAAGGCACCCCAGACGGAGAGTCCGAGGACAGCACGGGACACCCCGGTCTGGGCTGGGCCTCAGCTCCCTGTCCTCCCAGCCTCCTCATCCGCAAGAAGCAAGATGGGCCCCCACCTCACTGTACTCTGCTGATTGTTCTAGAAGCGTCTCCACACACCTCCCAGCGTGTGCTCACCTTCCTTTGTTCTGTGCTCAGCATGCGGTGCAGGTGTGCTCAGAGGCTGACCCCCAAACTGGAAGCAGGTCCTTGAAAACCCAGACTCGGCTCCGACTCTCAGCTCGGGCCTTGCTGGGGCGCTGCCTCCGGCTGCCATGTTTCTGATGGGCTGTGAGGGGCTGTGTAGAGCACCCCCAACTATGACAAGCAAAGTGTGACATTTATCGCCGACTGTCAACTCCTATCCTGTTGGGGGGTGCCTTTGGCCAGTACAGTCCTTCACCCTGGACCCCAAGTGGAGGAGACTGGGTTAAGAATGACCTTGAGCCTGGCCCGTCTGGCTCAGTGGTTGAGCATCGACCCATGAACCAGGAGGTCATGGTTTGATTTCCAGCCAGGGCACATGCCTGGGTTGCGGGCTCCATCCCCAGTAGGGGGCGTGTGGGAGGCAGCCCATCCATGGTTCTCTGTCCTCGTGGATGTTTCTGTCTCTCCTTCTCCCTTCCTCTCTGTTGAATCAGTAAAAGCATGTGAAGAAAAGAATGGCCTTGACCAGGGGAGTCAGTGACAGTTCTGTGCTGTTTGTTGACGGAAATCACTGTTTCCCACGGAGGTGGTGGCCGGAGGTCTGTGCTGCTCCTGATGGAACAGAAGCGCTCATGTCTGCATCGTGTCATTAGCAGGCACTTACTTACGGAGGGAGAAGCGACACGGGGCCCGGCTGGGGTGTCAGGTGAACTTCAGGACGCGGCTTCACTGAGGCGGCGCGAGAGGCCAGACCCCCTGAGTCAGAGGGCGAGGGCCGCTGTGACTGACGGAGACGCCGACCGAGTGCTCTGTCCTGCAGATGATCGAAGGCCCTCGTCTTGCGTGAGGGTGGGCTCGAGGGAAGGAGGCAGGCAGCTGTTCTGAGCGGCAGGGAGTTCTATCTTCACGTCACAGAAAGGCTGGCTCGGGAGCCGGGCCCGGGGGTGTGACCGTGTGTGAGTCTCGGCTCCGACCGGGGCTGCTCTCTCACCCCCACAGACAGGTGCAGTGGTCACGTGCCGCCGTCCTGGCCAGTGTGGACAGCCGAACCCTTAGGTGAACTGGGAGCATTGCAGTTTTGCATGAGTGGCTGATCGCCAGAGAGGCAGAGCTCTGCTGGACTGAGTAGCCCCGAATCTTTAAAAATTGTTAAGTTTTTATCTATGACAATAAAAGTGTAATATGCTAATTAGACTAGGTGTCCTTCCGGACATCCTTCTGGATGACCTTCCCGATAAGGCCGGGGCTGTGAGGAAAGCCTGGGTCCCAGGTGCCAGAGGAAAGCCGGTGCCGGCAGCCAGGGGAAGGAAGGCCTACTCTTGCACGAATTTTGTGCACTGGGCCTCTAGTTTTGAAATAATTACAGACTCACTGGAAATTGCAAAAACCAGTGCAGTGAGGTCCTGTGTCCCCGTCACCCGGCCTCCCCCAATGACAATGCCTTTGAGGACTACAGTGTGGGATTCCTCACCTTGGCAGGATCTCCATTTTGGGCCACGCGTGCATGTGTGTGTGTGTGTGTGTGTATGTATGTGTGAATGTGAGTGTGAGTGTGTGTGTGAGTGTGTGTGTGTATGTATGTGTGAATGTGAGTGTGAGTGTGTGTGTATGTGTGAGTGTGGGTGTATGTGTGTGTGTGTGTATGAATGTGTGAGTGAGTGTGAGTGTGTATGAGTTAGTGTGTTTGAGTGTATGAGTGTGTGTGTGAGTGTGAGTGTGTGAGTGTGTGTGCATGCGTGTGTGAGTGTGAATGTGTGTGCATGTGTGCGAGTGTGTGAGTGTGTGGTGTGTGTGTGAGAATGTGTGTGAGAGCGTGTGTGAGCATGCGTGTGTGTGTGTGTTTGTGTGTGGTGTGTGTGTTTGGGGGGCTGTCCTGTGCATGTAGGATGTCGAGCAGCATGCCTGTCCTTGACCTGCTAGATGCCAGTGGCACTTTCCTCCCCACGTCCTAACAGTGTCTCCAGACATCAACAAATGTCCCCGTGGGCTGAGAGTCACTGCTATATGCACCATCGCAACCAGGGAATTGACATGGGTTAATGCTATTGACTGGATTACACACCTCGTATTTCACTAGCTTGTAGGTATGCTCGTGTGTGTGTGTGTGTGCATGTGCGTGCGTGCACACACACGCATGTGTGAGTGAGTGTAGTTCTCTGCAATTGTCCTGCGCATGCAGGTGTGTGGAACCACCACCTTCGGGACCCAGGCCTGTGGGCCCTTTTCTGAGGTGCAGGGACTCAGTGTCATGGAGTCCCTGAGTCCTCCTGGCGAACGTCGGTGTAGCCCGGACCTGCAGGGCTTGTAGGAGACCCAGGGGTGGCGGTGTGTGCGGTGAGTCTGGTTCTGTGGTTGACCCGGGTTCTGCTCACAGCCTCTCCTTCCAAGCGCTGCCCACCTCCCGATGGACAGCCCTGACTGCCAGGACCTGGTCCTCATTGGGACCCGCCTCCTCGCCTCCCTCCAGTCCGTGCAGCAGCTGCTTCGAGCAGAACCCAGCAGCTCCAGGTGCCTGCGGCTAGTGGGGGTCCAGGCTCACCATTAGCCCAGGCACAGGGCAGGGCAGGGCCACGTGGGGGCCCCCCCGCAGTGTGGAGCGCGTACTTTGCATGTCACGTCCAAGTTGGTGACCTTGGTTTGCGGCCCAACTATTTATTTATTTATTTATTTATTTATTTATTTATTTATTTATATTTTTTGTTCATCCTCACCCGAAGATATTTCTCCATTGATTTTTAGGGCGAGTGGGAGGGAGAGGGAGAGACAGAGAGAAGCAGTGCTGCGAGAGAGACACATCGATTGGTTGCCTCCTGCACGACCAGGGCCGGGGAACCTGCAACCAAGGTATGAGCCCTTGACCGGGGTTGAACCCGGGACCCTTCAGCCCGCAGGCCGACACTCTCTACACTGAACCACACCCGCCAGGGCAGGAGATCTTATAGCACGGCGTTATGTGTTCACTTGAAGGGTTAAACCAAAGTGGTTTGACCTGATAAACTCCCCACAAAACTCTGAGGGAAAGGATATTTTATTTTTAAAAAAAAAAAGTTATTTCATACACATCAGCAAATAGCTTTCAAGACAGCACCTCTCTTTCCAGAATGTTCTCCAAAGTCAACGATGCCTGCTGGCAGCCCCCTGCCTGGCCGTGGCTCGGAGACCAGGGCTGGTGCCGGGGAACGAAGGGGGGCCTCCGTTTGGGGAGCTGGATGGAGGCTGTGGTTCTGAGAAACAGTCGCTGTGCACCCCATGTGCCTGGCGCCTGCACACGGCCAGGACTCACGGCGGGCGCTGCCTCCGGTGGCCGGTGCCCGCGCGGTGGCAGCCTGGGCTGGGAGCCTGCGCTTCTGAGGCGAGGTCTCCGCCGGGTGTTCCCAGGGGCCGCGGAGCCTCCCCCGCAGGCTTACAGTTTCCAGCAATGGCTCTGCCCTCTGAGACCTTCTCAGACCCTCTGGGGTCTGTGGTTGGCCACCCCAAGGGCTGATGGCCCCCCTGGCTGGCATCCAGCCCACTACTCACGTGGGCACGGGGGCTGGTGGGAGAGCTACATTACCTTCCATGTTAACTTAAGACGCTCATGTCACAGATCTTTAGGGAACAGTCAGTCCTTGCAGGGCATGTGCAGGCATTGGGCAGATTTTGTTTAGGATCCAGAGAGAGCTGGGATCAAAATTTTGCTCCACCACCTCGGGCACGTGTGGCCTCTCCAAGCCTCGGCTGCTCCCGGTGGCACGGGAATGGCGGTGAGCACACTTGCCGAGGTGGGGGGGGTCAGGCGGGCACCAGCGCCTCCCCGTCTTCGGAGGGGCCGTTCAGAGGCACATTCCGTTCAGCTCCCTAGAGTCCCCAGCCAGGCGGCGTCCCAGAGGCCGTGCTCAGCACACAGCCCGTGTTATTGGCGTTTCCTCCTCCACGTCTCTGCTCCTGCACGTCATGCAATCACCTCCCAGAGACACGCCAGCTCCGAGGCCTCGTCTCAGGCTGTTTCCAGGCCGAACCCAAACTGAGACAGGCAAGTGCCAACGGTGCCCGCACAGTGCTGGGCACACCCCCACCCGCTGCTGTTGGGTGGCGGCTCTTTCCTTTAAGAGCTCCTTACTTGGTTGCCAGTTAGAAAGGTGGCGACGGCTGCACAGAGGCCAGGGTGCCCTGGGTCCCTGATGGAGACCACGCCTTCTTCACAAAAGCTCGCCCGGAGGAGGGCAGAGACTGATGGGGAAGACACGGGATGAGGGTCGGGAGGGCTTTTGGTTGATTGATTGGTTGTTTGTTTGGTTGATTGGTTGGTTGATTCGTTGATTGTTTGGTTGGTTGATTGGTTGGTTGGTTGGTTGGTTGATTGGTTGATTAGTTGATTGGTTAATTGATTGGTTGGTTGGTTGGTTGGTTGGTTGGTTGGTTGATTGGCTGGTTGGTTGATTGGTTGATTGGTTGTTTGGTTGGTTGGCTGATTGGTTAACTTGGTTGGTTGGTTGATTGATTAGCTGGTTGATTGGTTGATTAATTGGTTGATTGGCTGGTTGGTTGATTGGCTGGTTGGTTGATTTTGTTGTAGCCCTCGTGAAAGGCTTAGAAAATTGCAGTGGTATCTCCATCTCCACCCCAGACTATCCAGGTAACTGAGTAACAGAAGCAAGTACCTCCTTCAACCACTCAGCCTTCTTTCAGGATTCACCTGATCCCCAGGGAGACCTGTTTCCCAGGGAGCTTAGTCTCAGAACTGGGTGAGGACACTGGCTGTTCCCTCCCCCTCCTGGCCCTTTTGCTAACACCCCCTGGAGTTTGCAGCCACCATCATTTAGGATTTTCACGGTCACCCTCCTGGCTCTCGCACGTGAGGTTCTCTGCAGACGTGCATGGGGGGCAGGGCTCTAGGAAGCTGTCATCATTGTCTGTCTGATGCCCGAGGCAGCATCTCTGGGACGCTCCTGAGAACCCCTTTGCCTGGGGAAGGCCTCCCTCCTGTGTGGGTTCCAGGAGCCGAGGGCCTGGGCTGAGCCCTTCGCCAGAGGGAGTGTGGACCCTGCTGGGCTGGAATTTCCTGGGGAAATGCAAAAATGCAGCGAAGGATTTTTCAGTTCCTGGGTTTGCTACTGTAGCTCCTTGAAGAGCAAGGGAAAAAGCCTTTCTTATGAGCCCAGAGTGTTCTATTCATCACCACAGACCAGAATAGACACGGCCGGGCTGGCAGCTCCATTTGCTACTTTTAAGGAATTCAGCTTTGTCACGCAGCCCAGATGGGGATGTTGATTTAATCTGGCTCCTTCTCTTTCCACTTTGCTCTCCTCTTTCATCTGGACGGGCCATGTTGCTGGGAAGGACCTGGAGTGGAGTCAGACCCCAGCTCTGCCCGGCTCTGGGGGTGCCCGGGGGTCTCCCCTCTGAGCCTCAGTGTCCCCACCTGTGACGTTACTTTCATGGTCAGCCCCGCCCTCAGGGGCACCTGCCAAGACGGGATGCTGTCATCTGTGCGAAAATGCCTCATGATTGTGAGTCACACGCCACATGCCGGGCTGTCGGTTTTTCAGCCACTGGAATGGTGCTCTGTGATGGGAGGGCTCCATCAGCATATTAATGATGAGCAGACGGAAGCTGTCTTTTTTTAAAAAAATATATTCTATTGATTTTTTACAGAGAGGAAGGGAGAGGGATAGAGAGCTAGAAACATCGACGAGAGAGAAACATCGATCAGCTGCCTCCTGCACACTCCCCACTGGGGATGTGCCCGCAACCCAGGTACATGCCCCTGACTGGAATCGAACCTGGGACCCTTCAGTCTGCAGGCCGACGCTTTATCCACTGAGCCAAACAGGTTAGGGCCGGAAGCTGTCTTTTAAAATATATTTTTATTGATGTCAGAGAGGAAGGGAGAAGGGGGGAGAGAGAGAGAGGATCATGGATCAGCTGCCTCCTGCCCCACATTGGGGATAGAGCCCACAACCCAGGCATGTGTCCTGACCGGGCATCCAACCGTGACCTCCTGGTTCATAGGTCGACGCTCCACCCCTGAGCCCCCGGAAGGTGTCTTGCTCAGTGGTGACCCAGGCAGGCTCTGCCCGGAGCCCTGGGTGCGGGTTACGCATTGCTGTTTCCTCCCTGTAATTGCCATCCAGTGACGGTGTGTGTGTGTGTGTGTGTGCGCCCTGTTTCCTGCCGAGGGGCGGGCCATGGAGAGGTGAAGGGGTCACTGAGGACTCAATTGCTCAGCGAGGTGGCAGCACCTGGAGCTTCGAGAGGGTGGCTGGGTCCTGCCTGTTGCCCCACAGGTGGGTCCTGGGCTCAGGCGCTCAGGGAGGTAGCACCCGTGCCAACATCGGCACCTTCCTTGGATCCCCCGAGCCAAGCAGCACGTTTCGGTCCAGGATGGGGACCCGGCGTGTGGGAGGCGAGGCTGAGGCTGTGGCCGGGACTGAGCTCTGGACCCCCTCCCCCCCCACAGCCCTGGAGGCCGCAGAGAGGAGGAGGGAACCCCACATTCTCCCCAGAACTCGCTGTCCCCTCCCTGTGCCCAGCCCAGGCCTTGGAGGGCGAGGGAGGGAGCCGCCCTGCTGTGGGGAATTCGCGCTCTGGGCCCAGAAGGCTCATTCCAGCTCCATGTGATCAGATGGGCACGGTGTCAGCATCTGGGGCCCGGGAGGGTCAAGGTGGGGAGGGGGTGGGGACAGAGGTAGGGATGGGGAGGGGACAGAGGTGGGGAGAGGGAGGGGGCAGAGGTGGGGAGAGGGAGGGGACAGAGGTAGGGATGGGGAGGGGACAGAGGTGGGGAGAGGGAGGGGACAGAGGTAGGGATGGGGAGGGGACAGAGGTGGGGAGAGGGAGGGGGCAGAGGTGGGGAGAGGGAGGGGACAGAGGTAGGGATGGGGAGGGGACAGAGGTGGGGAGAGGGAGGGGACAGAGGTAGGGATGGGGAGGGGACAGAGGTGGGGAGAGGGAGGGGGCAGAGGTGGGGAGAGGGAGGGGACAGAGGTGCGGAGAGGGAGGGGGCAGAGGTGGGGAGAGGGAGGGGACAGAGGTAGGGATGGGGAGGGGACAGAGGTGGGGAGGGGGTGGGGGCAGAGGTGGGGAGAGGGAGGGGACAGAGGTGGGGAGAGGGAGGGGACAGAGGTGGGGAGAGGGAGGGGACAGAGGTAGGGATGGGGAGGGGACAGAGGTGGGGAGGGGGAGGGGGCAGAGGTGGGGAGAGGGAGGGGACAGAGGTGGGGAGAGGGAGGGGGCAGAGGTGGAGAAGGGAAGGGGGCAGAGGTGGGGAGGGGGAGGGGGCAGAGGTGGGGACGGGGAAGGGGCAGAGGTAGGGAAGGGAAGGGGGCAGAGGTGGGGAGGGGGAGGGGGCAGAGGTGGGGACAGCTGCTCTGAAAAGAGGAGCCCTCGCCCCCCGGAGACCCTCACACACGTGGAAGCAGACATTTCTCTCTCTTTCTTTTTAGGTAAAAATAGCAACAGAAGAGGCGTGAGAACCCAGAGCCCCGAGAAGGCTGCCAGCAACGAGCAGGGCGTCCCCGTGGCCCCCGGGGATGTCAGGGCGGGTAAGTGAGGCCAGTGCCACCCTGGCCGGCTACTGCTGCCGCAGGCTCCGTGAGGGCCCCTGGTGTGGGGCTGCCTCCCAAGCCCCACGTGGGGAGGGGGCCTGCCCAGCCTCACACGCCTCCATGCTCCTCAGAGGGGGCGGGCAGGGCCCCACAGCCAGGGTCCCGTCACTGCTGAGTGTCCGGGCTCCTGGCTCCCAGCCGGTGGCGGCGTCTCAGGGTCTCTGTGATGGGGGTTAGAGGGCGCTGAGATAAGGCTGCGATCCCTGCTTTCCCAAGACCCCAAGGGAGCGCCCTCTGGGAGCCCGTGGCCTCTGAGCTGGGCAGGCAGCCACTACAAACACTGCCCCCCCAGGAAGCTGCCCCCACACTGGTCCGTCCAAGGGAACCCGGTCAGCACGGTGAAGGGAAGGACGCCCGTCAGGGCTGCTGGCTTTAGGCTCAGGCTGAGGTGTGTGCACTGGTCCCGGCGGCCCTGGAGGCGGAAGCCTCCCTGGTGGTGCCAGGTGGGGACCAGCGCACACACCCAACGCGAGCCCCGCGGGAACAGCCTCAGACCGAGGCGTGGGCAGCCACGGAGAAGGGTGTCCGAGCAGGTCGCCCAGAGTGGAGACGGGCGTGATGTTGGCTGTTGATTGCCAGGATTTACCCAGAGACGCTGGGCGTGCAGTGCCGGAGGGGGGTGCGGTGATGAGGGGAGTTCGGGGCGGGGGGGCTCAGAAACCCAGAAACTGGCCTCTGTCCAGTCTGTCCTGGTTGGTCACGAGCCTTGTCCTTCCAGGGTGCCCGCCCCTCGGCCTGGAAACCTTAAAAATCACCGACTTCCAGCTCCACGCGTCCACCGTGAAGCGCTATGGCCTGGGCGCGCACCGCGGGCGGCTCAACATCCAGGTACCGCCGGGGAGGGTCCCGATCGCCCGCGCCGGCTGGCTGAGCGGGGTCAGGCACCGGCACGACCTTTCACCTGCCCGCGGCCAGCCTGGCTGGTTTGGCTCAGCAGTTAGAGCGTCAGCCTGCGGACCCAAGGTCACAGGTTCGATTCCCGGCCAAGGGCACCCACCTCAGTTGCAGGTCCGTCCTGACCACTTGTCGGGGCACATGCAGGAGGCAACCAGTTGATGTGCCTCCCTCCCCTCATGGTCTCTCTCTCTCTCTCTCTCCTCCCTCATTCTCCCCTTCCCCTCTCTCTAAAATACCCGCGGGAGACATATCCTCGGGGACGGGGCTGTAAACGTAAGGTCACTGACCCCAACTCTCACAGGGGAGGCGTTGCTGGCCACAGCTGAGAGACAGCCCTGAGACCGATGGCGTCTTCTCCGGGGGCTGCTGAGTGCAGACAGGCCGCTCATCCCGGCGTCCTCGCTGCCCTGCCCTCGCCGGGCACACGGGAGGCGAAGGCGGAGGCCGGAGGAGGAACGGGTGGTCCGCAGGAAGCTCCCGGCTGTGCTTGCTTCCGGGCCACTTCTGCCCCCTCTTTGTCCTTCAGCCCAGGGAGGCCGCTGGGCGGAGAGCATGCTCCCGGGCCGCCAGGTCTGCAGACACGCGTACCCACCTCCCTGCCCCCCGCAGCGAGGATGGAGTCAGGTGGAGGGAAAGCTCTGGGTGCTGGTTGCCCTCACGGGGCCTTTTTCCCTCAGTGGCACGTCGCCTGCCCTGAGGCCTCGGACAGACCCTGGCCCTGCTCGCAGGTGTGCGGAGGCAGCTGGGTAGCCGGGCGGGCGGGCGGGCGGGCTGTCCCCGCCCTGGGCTCCCCGCCCCGTGGGTACGCGGTGTTAGCCCCAAGTAGTGCCAGCCGTGGGAGGGGCCGCAGTGCCCAGCCCCGGGGAAGAGATGCGGGCGGCTGGGCTCCTGCCTCCAGAATCAGACTCAGGAAGCCTGGGCTCCAGCGTCTTCCCACACGCCCGCCTGGAACGCGTTTAAAAATAACAGCTCGCCTCCCCTGTGTAGGCGGCAGGCGGCAGGCGGCAGGCGTGCAGGCGTGTAGGTGTGCAGGCAGCAGGTGTGCAGGCATGTAGTCGTGCAGGTGTGCAGGCGGCAGGCGTGCAGGCATGTAGGCGTGCAGGTGTGCAGGCGGCAGGCGTGCAGGCGTGTAGGCGGCAGGCGTGTAGGCATGCAGGTGGCAGGCGTGTAGGCGTGTAGGTGTGTAGGCATGCAGGCGGCAAGCATACAGGCATGTAGGAGTGTAGGTGTGCAGGCGTGTAGGCATGCAGGCATGTAGGTGTGTAGGTGTGCAGGCATGTAGGCGTGCAGGCGTGCGGGCGGGCGTGCCCATGGATGGGGCTTTGTGTGCGAGAAGCACTAAGGCGTCAGGATTGGAAACCGCATTGAAAGGCAGTCGGGCAGGGTGTGAGCGAGGTCCGCCCGCTGCCATATCTGCCCGGTGTCCCCTGCAGTGAGGTCAGAGCCTCGGAGACGCTGGGTGCCCGTGGCTGCAGACGTGCCCGCAGGAGGACGGGGAGTCGGTTACAGACGCTGACCCGAGGTTTACGCTGGTGTCAAAGTTCAGGTGCGTGGGGACATCCTGCCTGTCCCTCTGCCCCAGGCACCTGTCCGCTCGCCCAGACGTGGGGCCCACGTGGGTCCTGGCAGGCAGCGCGTGGGCGGCAGCACTTTCTCAGGCATCACCCACCCCCACCCCACCCCACCTGCTCCTCGCGGGTCCTTCGCACCCAGCGCCTTCTGCCCTGAGGCCTGCCTGCCCGTCAGACCGTCCGGCTGCGGGAAGGGGGGCGGGCACCCACCCTAGGTCTCAGGCCGCACAGAGCCCATGGGGCTCCCCGAGTGCGCGGCCTGCGCAGGAGGCAGATGGAGCATGGTGGGTGGTTCGTTTCCAAACCATGGGACGTCCTGCTCGCCCTGATAGAGAGGTTTTGCCTGCGTCTGGCCGGCGGCGTGCACGCGCCAAAAGGCTGGAATGTTGGATATTTGGGTTTTTATGGGAATCACAGGACCAAATATTTTAAGTCCTGGAAACTTGAAAATGAGCATTCCCGTAATGATTGTGCTGCTCTTAACCTCGAGACGCCCGGCCCTGCAGATTTGGCACAGGATCAGATAACATTTTTTAAATGTAATTTCCTCCCCTAAAACTCCCCAGCGTCTCCGTGCTGGTCTCATGTTCTCGGCTGTCGTTGCTGGAGTCTCCACGTGAGAGCTCGCTCAGAGGATGTCCTGTCCCGTTTCACGCAGCGGCTTCTCCCCCAGGCATGGCGGCTCCGTCCCCGAGGCGCCTCCCGGTCTCCTTACCCCTCGGGCGCCTCCCGGTCTCCTTACCCCTCGGTTCCTTTGCTGTGGGCCTGGCCGGCTGTGCTCTCAGCTGGGTGGGGGAGGGCCGGGCAGCTCACTGTTCAGCGGGCTGATGCCCCCCGAGCCCTGTTACCTGTCACGTCACCTGCCCGGCTCTGCGCACTGGGGCCTCTGTGGTTTGTGGTGTTTTCTTTTGTTTGTTTTGTTTTGTTTTCAGAGAAAAATTTAGGGCTTCTGTGGAGTGGGGGTGGTGACATTGGGAATCTTTTTCTTTTTTTAAAAATACATACATTTTGAATCCATTCCCTCTGTCCATTCCAGACTCACAGTCCCCGTCCAGGCACCTCACATCTAGTTTCAGAGCTTTTTTTTTTTTTTTTTTTTTTTTTTTTAAATCTATATATATAACAGGCTAATATGCTAAGTGTCCCTCCGACCATCCGACCGGTAGCTATGATGCGCACTGACCACCAGGGGGCAGACACTCAATGTAGGAGCTGCCATGATGCGCACTGGCCATTTATAAAGAAACGGCACCATGGACCTTCTCCAACAAAGCAACACTCGGCTTCCCCCGAGTGGGACACGGGTCCTGCCTCCACCTCAAAGCGACAGCCAGCAAACGGCTGCTGAGACCCAGGGTACAAAATACAGCCCACAACCCAGGCCAGCCCAGCCCGGAAATGATGGCTGTGGGTGCTGGGTAATGATGTCACATAGCAACGCCCGGCTTCCTCTCCCTAGCAACGAGCCTCCTTGCAGGTTCTTCAGCCCAGGAACCCGACTTGCTTTAAAGCCAGGTGCAGACATTTCACAGTTTAACCAAATGTCTGTGAAGCGTTTTCCCTGCCTCATCTCATTTGATCCTCACAGAAGTCCTGGAGTACGTAGATAGGAGACTCGGTGGAATCCTTTTTTTTTTTCATTAGCCGGAAAATGGAGATTTAGAAAGTTTAGAAACTTGTCCCAACTGAAAAGGAGTAAGAAATGGCGGACCTTGAAAGTGACTTCAGCCTTTCCCACTGCGCAGAATATAGTCAAACACGGCTGCAGTTAAATAGTTTACCCTTTGTTCTCCCTGCGTGATCTACAATAATAATCTGCGTCGTGTTGATTTTACTGCTGTGTTGCTGACAATTACCTGAAAGAGAAGTTGGGGTGCTTCACTGGGCTGGAAAAGTTTAGCTACATCAGAAAGCAGGTCTAATTAAGCAGGTTTGTTCTATGTCTATAAAAGGCTAAGCTGACTCGTGCATGCGTGATACATATAAAGCCCTTGCTGGTGCCAGTCGCACGTGTGTGTTTCCACCTGTCATTGTCGATGTGGATTTGGTTGACGCTCCTATTATAGAGAAAGGGCGAAGAGCGATATTAAAATATTTCTTCTAATTAAGTCCCTTTCTGTGCATGAATTCATGCACCGGGCCACTAGTTTTAAATATATTTTAATTGATTTCAGAGAGGAAGGGAGAGGGAGAGAGAGATAGAAGCATCCATGACGAGAGAGAATCACCTATGGGCTGCCTCCTGCACGCCCCCCACTGGGGAGGGAGCCCACAACCCGGGCCTGTGCCCTGACCGGGAATCGAACCGTGACCTCCTGGTTCATAGGTCGACGCTCAGCCCCTGAGCCACGCCGGCCGGGTTCCAGTTTTAATTTCCACAGAGACACCCTGCCGGGCCAGGAGCCGCCACCTGGGGCCTTTGTGAAGAGCACGTCTGCTTCTCTCAGGCAGGTGTCAGCGAGAACGACTTCTACGACGGGGCCTGGTGCGCGGGCAGGAACGACCTCCACCAGTGGATCGAGGTGGACGCCCGGCGGCTGACCCGGTTCACGGCCGTCATCACGCAGGGGCGGAACTCGCTGTGGCTGTGAGTGCGGCACTGTGCTGTGGGCCCCGCGCCTGGGCCTGAGGGTCCGGTGTGGACAGGGCAGGGACAGGGAGGCGGCTGGCGGTGGGTGGGCAGGTGACTGGCGGTGGGCAGGGAGGGCTCAGGCAAGGGGCATTAGAAGAGAGGGACCTTGGAGGGTGGGCAGGAGGCTGGGTGCTGTGGACTCAGGTCGCCCTGGGAAGGTGCATCTCTTAGAATGACCCCCCCCCCACACACACACACCCAGGAACGGGGAGTAGGAGACATGGGGTGGTATCCCAGTCCGATCTACGCACACGTGGGGTGGTATCCCAGTCCGGTCCGTGCAGACGTGGGGTGGTATCCCAGTCCGGTCCGCGCACACATGGGGTAGTATCCAGCTGTAAAGGAAGGGAGTTCTGACACTGGCTACAACGCAGAGGAACCGTGAGGGCATGGCGCTAAGTGCAATAGCCGTCACACAGGACAGACTGTCCGAGTCCACTCACAGGGGCTCTGAGAGAGTCAGATCCTAAAACAGGAAGCAGAGGGGCGGCTGCCAGGGGCCGGGGAGGGGATGGGGAGTTACTGTTTGAAGGGTATAGACTTTCACTTTGGGGTGATGGAATGTTCCGGATTTGGAGGGAGGGGGATGGTTGCACAACACTGTGAATATACTTATTACCACTGAGTTGTAACCTTAAAAATGGTTAAAATCAGCCCAGCCAGTGTGGCTCAGTGGTAGGGCATTGACCTATGACCAGGAGGTGAGGGTTCAATTCCCGGTCAGGGCACAGGCCCGGGTTGCAGGCTTGATCCCCAGGAGGGGGCGTGCAGGAGCAGCCGATCAATGATTCTCTCTCATCATGGATGTTTCCACCCTTCTCTCCCTCTCCTTCCTCTCTCAAATCAACACAAACATGTTTTTAAAAATGGTTACAATCATAGGTTTTATAGTATGTATACTTTATTATAATAAGTGGAAAATGTAAGTGCAAATACCTCCCTCCTCCCCCAAATAACCTCTCCACACCAACCCAGGGCTGGAGACGGATTCCGTATTTCCTGTCATATTTTGAGTGCGATTATGATGATGCTATTTTCAATTTTTTTTAAAAAAAAATATATTTTATTGATTTTTTACAGAGAGGAAGGGAGAGGGATAGAGAGTTAGAAACATCGATGAGAGAGAAACATCGATCAGCTGCCTCCTGCATACCCCCCGCTGGGGATGTGCCCACAACCAAGGTACATGCCCTTGACTGGAATCGAACCTGGGACCCTTCAGTCCGCAGGCCGACGCTCTATCCACTGAGCCAACCCGGCCAGGGTGATTATGCTGTTTGTAACTGAGCACACACCCGGGACATTTCCTGCTGCTCCTCCGGCTTCATAATGGTCATTTTTAACAGCCTCTCATTCCACAGCCAGGCCTCCATCCCACTCCACGTCCTACAGTCACAGGTCATTTTGCAAGAAGACTTTCTCCTCCTTTTTTGTTCCTTTGAGTTGTTTCCTTCACAGGCGTTTCCAGGGCTGGGATCACCCGCGCCTTCTGGCAGCACTGGCTCACGTATGTGCTGTCGTGTGGCACATTTTTATCGAGTTGTTTTGCGGTAGCTCTTACGCGTGTGCTTACACCTGCCAGTCTTCCCCCTGCTGTGCGCCTCTCTCTAATTGGTGGCTCGTTGCCATGACAATTGTTCTCACTGTTCAGATTCCAAAAGGCAAGAGTTTTGAAAAAAAGAAAAAGAAAGAAAAAAGTTGAATTGCTCCAGGAAAAGGGACAGTTGGACGGAGAGGCCGGCCGAGATGGTCCGCGGACGGTGGGGGGCTGTGCGTTAATGCTGGATATTGACCTGCCGGCCGGACGGGAGCGGCCGGTGGTCGGGCTGTGATTGGATTAGGGAGCGGCCGGCGGCGGGGCTGTTGCTGGATTAGACAGAAGGCAGCTCACTTTCCCTTCCAGCTGAAACTCAAGAGGGTTTGGCTGGACGAGAAATCGCAGCGGAACACTGTGTTTCTGGGCTCAGCTGAGGACAGGAGCCTCGGGGGAGGCGAGGGTAGGGTTGCTCTTAAGAGGCGGTTTGTTTTTTTAAACGTCTAAATGCATTTCAAGTCCAATTATTCTTCAAGGACAAGGCGCAGGGGGCTGGAGCGGTGCAGTCTGAGCTCCTGGAATTGGACCGTCTGCACTCAGGACGGAATAACCAACGGACGAGGGTACGTTCTGCTGTCTGAGCCTTTTCCCGGAGGCGTGAGTCATGCTGGAGGCCTAGGCAGCTAGTCCAGTGCGGCCCTAACACAGGGCAGCAGGAGCGGCCACCGCGTCCCGGCAGCAAAGAGGACAGCGTCGTCCCTCTGTCCCGCCCCCACGCTGTGCTCATGCTGTGCCCAGTCTGGTCTCTACGGTACTTTTTAAAAAATCGATTTCAGAAAGGAAGGGGGAGGGAGAGCGAGAGAAACATCGATGATGAGAGAGAATCACTGATCGGCTGGAGCCCACAACCCGGGCCTGTGCCCTGACCGGGAATCGAACCCTGGCCTCCTGGTTCACAGGTCGACCACTGAGCCACACTGGCCCGGCTTCTTTGGCCTTATTTAGAGAAGTGCTTTTCAAGCTTTATCTTTAGCCCCAGAGCCGTCCTTTCGATAAAGTCTTTCTTGGACACACTCAGAGCATACGGACGAGTGAGGCTGCTCTGTGTGAGTCCCGGATGTCCACAGGCCTGGATGTCCACACGCTGACGCGGGATTGAGGGGGAGGGGGCGCAGGAGAGCTGTCCCCAGGCCCGGATACCGGCGGGAAGCAGGTCTGAGGCTTAGCCACGGCCACGACCAGTTCCTAACCAAGAGGATGAAACACTCCAGGGTTCATGATTTTCAGGGAACTCTTGCTCTCTGACAGGAACAAAATGTAGCTGTTTTCATGATGTTGAATATTTATGTTTTTCACTGATAAATGTCCCTCCCCACTGATTGCAGTTTAGCGAAACGTGAGTGTACTAATCAGAGCCGTCTTCCATTCCCTGCTTTTGAAGGTTTGTCAGGTGGATGAGTGTGGGAAGGATCTGTTACAATGTGATGAAGGAGAAGTGAGTTACTTCGCCTGAGCTGAACGGATGCTCCCCCCCCCCCCCCCATGACTTGGACAAAGTACCGGCAGTTTAAAATGCCCGAGTATTTCCAGCTTTAGTTGCTCTGTAAACAAACGATCGTCATCATCTCCTGAGAGTCTGCACACGTGGCCTCAATGCGAGGGGGCAGGCTGACTGGGCCGTTTGCCCGCTGAGGGCTGGGGAGGTCGACGGGTTGGCTGGATGTTTAGCAAGCATTTGGGCCCGGGTGGTGTGGCTCAGTGGGTTGGGCATCGGCCCACGCACCCAGAGGTCACCAGTTCGATTCCCGGTCAGGGCACAGGCTCCAGGTTGAGGCTGGGTCACCGGTCGTGGGGGTGCGGGAGGCAGCCAATCCATGTTTTGCTCTCACATCAACGTTTCTCTCTCCCTCTCCCTCTCTCTCTAAAATCAATTATAAAAAGCAAACCCCGCAGCCCAGGTTCTAATGCAGGGGTGGGCAAACTTTTTGACTCGAGGGCCACAATGGGTTCTTAAACTGGACCGGAGGGCCGGAACAAAAGCATGGGTGGAGTGTTTGTGTGAACTAATATAAATTCAAAGTAAACATCATTACATAAAAGGGTACGGTCTTTTTTTTTTTTTTTTAGTTTTATTCATTTCAAACGGGCCGGATCCGGCCCGCGGGCCGTAGTTTGCCCACGGCTGTTCTAGAACCTTATACATATCGTCTTCTACTTTGCCTTTAGAAGGGAAAGGCAGTTGGCTAATTTGCAAGTGATGAGTGAGGCTGTGCCAGAAGCTGGGAGCTTGGAGGGAGCAGGGAGGGAGCAGGGAGGGAGCCGGGAGCCAGCCCGGCCGTGGAGGAGCGTGGTCCCATTTGATCTTAGTGGGATCTTAGCAGAGGCTCCGAGTGCGGCTTCCCCTCGGGAGCTCTGAGGGCGGCGGAAGGGAGCGGATGAGGCACAGAGCCTGGAGGAAGACAAGGCCAGAGCCAGGCCTGTTTCCCGGTCCTTTCGGAAGGCGGCTGTGCTCCCAGGAGGGGCCGTGCCCAGGAGGCAGGTCCCTGGGGGCACGGGTGGCGGTGGGGCATGGGGCTGACACGGGAGGGGCTCGCGTGGCAGGAGGAGGCTTCCTCATCCCCTGAGATGCTAAAGGCAGGGACTAATTCTGGGGATTCCGAGCCCTCACACCAGGGGCGGTGTTCCTGGTGGAGGAGGCGGCGGGTCCTGAGCCGGGCAGGTTGGGGGGGAGGGGGGGCGGTTGGACACAAAGTGGCTCAGCCCTGATGCAGGGAAGGCTCCCGGACTCTGAGCCAAGGGCTGGAGTGGCCCCACCGGCACTGTTGGCGCTCGTCCACCAGGGGGCGGTAGAGAGGCTGGCAGTGCCCTGGAGGCATCCGGGGACCAGGGCTGGTGGGACCAGGGCTGGTGGGGAGGAGTCAGAGCCAGAGGCTGGTCCCCTGGGACTGAAGGACAGGGTCAGGGATGCTACCTGGAGATGAGGCTGCGGAAGTGATGGAGGTGGGTGGGGAGGACGTGGCCATCGAGGACTCTGTGGGCAGCAGAGGGGCTGCCTGGTGTCGGAGGCCATGGGCAGGGTCAGAGGGCAGCAGACGCCTGGGAATGTGGAGGCTGCAGGGCTGGCCGCTCAGCGCTGTGCCTGCCGGGAGAATCCCAGGACACGCTGGTCCCTGGCTCCGGCGGGGGGGGGGGGGGGCGGGGGGGGGGCGCAGCCCGGAGACGGTGGGTCTGCGTGAGGAGGGAGTGGCGGAGAGAAGGGGCAGCGCCAAGTCCAGCAGCAGCAGGGGATGCGGGTCCAGAGGCCGGGGGTGGAGATGGCGCCTTCCCTTCCGGCTGGAGTCCCGCCCGGTGGCCGGGCGTCTGGGTCCCCAGGGAGAAGGGTCCCAGGGCTCCTCTCTCTTCAGCTCCCCCTGGTTTCCCTCCCAGGGGACGGATCCGGGCCTTTCTCATCCCTCGGTGGGGTCTGGGCCCCGCACAGCAGGGCCGGCCGGGACAGGAGCCGGGAGGAGGCCAGGCCGCCCCTGGAAGCGGGGCTCATGGGAGGCAGCTGCGGGGGAGGCGTGTTTTCATGCTGCGGCTCCTGTTTTTGACGAAATGAATGTCGGCGCCTCTCGGGGCTGGAGAGCCCGAGTTTCCAAACTCCTCTCGAGCCCCGCTGAAAGCTGTCAGTTTGGAGCTGCAGGTTTGGCACCAAAGGGAGCGGTTGTAATGAAAACATCTCCAAGTTCAAGTCGAAGGCCAGCGAGCAATCACTGCTCCGTGTCCTGTTGCCTGTCAACGATGCAGGGAAAGTGATTTAAAGGTACAGACGCTCTCGGCTCCAGCCTCACGGCTCGCCTTGGCGTCGGGGCGCCCGTGACTAAGGAGAGGGCTCTCGGGGGAAATTCTCTAAGGCAGCGGTTCTCCACCTTCTGGCCCTTTACATACAGCTCCTCACGTTGTGACCCAACCATAGAATTATCTTCGTTGCTACTTCATCACTGTGATGCTGCTACTGTGATGAATCGTCATGTAAATATCAGATATGCAGGATGGTCTTAGACGACCCCTGTGAAAGGGTCGTTCGACTGCCAAAGGGGCCGCGACCCACAGGTTGAGAACCGCTGCTCTAAGGGCAGCAGCTCGAGAATTCCCTCCTGGGTGGCGCTTCCTGCTGTGTGCAGGGCCCTGGACTCCTGGTCTGACTCCCCAGGAAACATACTGGACACACGGCCTTTCTTTCACCTGGTGGAGGGGCTCCCTCGGACTGGGCCCCCACCCTGGCCTAGCTCCCCTATGCTCCCACTCCTTGACCCACAGGTCCTGTGTGGACTGGCTCCCTCTGCTCTCTGACCTCATGCCCTTTGCCCTCCTGGCCCAGGAGCCTCCTCTTTATTCTGCAGATAAGCAAGCCCCTCCTGCCCCAGGCCCTTTGCACCTGCCATTCTGTCAGCCTCAGGCTCCTGGAATGCAGAGGCTTCCTTCCAAACCCACTCCCAGCGGCTCCCTGTCCTCCCGGGCTTCAGCGGAGGCCCTGTGTGTCTGTGTGTCTTTCTGTACTTGCCCTGATGGATGTCACCCTCCGGGAGCAGCAGGGCCTGGCTCGTGTTTGCCGCTGGGTCGCCAGCACCGGAGGAGTGCCCTGCGCAGGGAAGGCCTCCAGCTCCGTCGCTGCTGACTCTGCCCTCTCCAGGGGCCGGACCTCAGCCCCGCCAGCCAGGGCCTCCCGAGCGAGACTGGATTCCGACCTTCCTGGCCGCACGCCTCCGTTTCTTCACCTGAAAAATGGGGATGATAGTGCCTGTCGCTGGGATCACTGTGGGGTTCAATGAGTTACTGCCACGTCAGGCCGTTAAGAGAGCCCTTGGCACACGGTGAGCCCCTGAAGGAGCCGGCCGCGGCCACTGTTTTGTTAGGATTCCTTCCCTTTTGTGGGGGCTGCTCACAGGCCAGCCCCCCATTTCCTCTCCAGCCAGTGCTCTTGGCGTGTCCATACCGCGCTCCCTGCTCTCCGAGGCCCTGCTCCCGCCGCTGGTAGGGCTTTAGCCGGGAGGCTGCGGAGGGGCTGGTCCCGGGGTCCTGGGCCCAGAGGCTCACAGGAAGCCCGGGCGCCAGACACAGCACGTGCTGGGTGAGCCAGCATCCCGCCACACCCCGCCCCCTCCCCCAGCCCCAGCCCCAGCCACCTGCAGGGGACCTCCAGCCCCCAGGGGGCCCCCGGAGAGCATGAGGGCGGAATCGGTCACATTGCAGCTGGGGAAACAGGCATGGAGAGCGCCCCGACGCTTCCTCTGAGGTCCTCCTTTGCCTCGAACCCTGAACCCCGGGAGTGGGCTCGTGTGCCCTGCGTCGGAGCACATGCTGGGCGGGGGCCAAGGTCACGGCAGGGCCGCCCCGGGCCGCCCTCCCCATCGGACACAGTGGGTGCGGTAGCCGGGCCCAAGGGAGTGCGGAGCCCGTCGCGCCCTCCCAACCTGGAGGAGACGGCTGTTGGGGCCGAAGGAGGCCTTTCACGTCGGATGCAGCAGAGTCGTCCTCACACCAGCCGTCAGGAGACAGGGCTTTCCCCGTTTCCGTGGAAGGAAGGGCGTGTGGCCGGCAGAACAGTGGCCCCAGTGTCAGCGTCCTGGCTCCAGAGCCTGCGAGCAGGTGTCGCGTGGCAAAGGGGACTCCTCCCGCTGCACGGCCCCGGTGAATAGTTAATCTGCATTATTAACCGGTTAATAGTTAATCCACATTATTAACTGTAATAAATGTGGATTTTGTAATAAAAGAAAACACGATAATTTCAAGAGAAACATCAGAAGTGCTTTGTTCAAAGTAATGTCTGTCGCTAGCTACACATTTCCCCATCTTTCAGGTGATTTGTGGAGACCGTCCCAATAGAACTTTTCTTGTTTTGAGGCAAACCATCCGGACACCCAATTTCCCACGTCTTCGTATGTTCTGAAGCGCTGCTCAGAAAGTGCGTGTGCCGTCGATCGGAACAAGTGGCCACCTGAAGGGGCAATACAACGAAACAGCACACACATCACATCGCATATATATCAACGTGTGTAACTCCATCGATTGAAAAGATGCGCATTACTCACCGGTGCCCCGGTGTATGCATTTCCCCCTAAGGCAGTGCTACCTTCTCTGCTTGCTGGCTGCTCTCTGGTTGCCGGTCCACGGCTCTTGTTCGTTCCGTGGGAGGTGTCCTGTGCTTGCGGCAGGCCTACCGATGGTTTAAACAGTGTGTGTGCGTGTGTGTGTGTGTGTGTGCGTGTGTGTGTGTGTGTGTGTGTGTGTGTGTGTGTGTGTGCAGTGCAGCTGGGACCTAGTTATACCACAAGCGTTTAGTCTGTCGCTGTGTTGATGGAGGACGTTTCTGGGTTTTATTCAAACCACGTTTACATCGGTCTAAACTATCGCAATGTGTTCCAGATGTTTCCTTTGCAGCCCACCTCCTCTCGTCCTCATCTGGAGGCCGGCTGGCTGGGGGGAAGTGGGGTGTCTCCTCCACGGGCGGGGCTGTGTTTGGTTGGGTTGGGTTTCGCGTGGAGCGGGGAGCCGGCTGGAGTCCGAGCCCCTCCGTCTTCTGCATCAGCAAGTCGCTGACACAGAAGCTCTGGGGCCGCCTTGCTCCGGCTGAAAGCTCCAGTCACAGGGAATTAAACGTCAAGGTGGTTTGTGATGTGGAAACTTCTCTCCGAGGGAAGTGGAAAAAGCCACAAAGGGCTGGAAATTTCAAACCTTCCCAAGGACGAGGAGACGGGGGAAGGCGGACGTGAGATCTGGGGTCTGTGAAGCCGGCTTCTGACAGGATGTCAGGGAAGCATCCCGGGGGCGTGGCTTTCCTGTGAGATGGAGCTGCGTTCACCCACCCGCCCGGCCCGCGCCTTCCGGCCACACGTGGGTCTCTGTCCTCACGGAGCGTCCAGGTCACACCCCTGTTTCTCACTAACCTGGGACCTGCGTGAAGAGCTTGTGTGCGAGGCTCCTTTGCGTTCCCAGGGGCTGGCCGGACCCGGGTGGGGCGGCGGCCTCAGGCTTAGGAGCAGCACGGAGCACATGCTATGGGGCAGCTGGGGTTTTTGTGGGGAGAACTTCAGGCCAATCCCATCCTCCCTCGGGGGGGGACCGATGGCAGGTATCCCCTCATCACCCCAGTGACCCACCGCCTTCATTGGAACTGAGATTTAATTAACTGACACTTCCTTTTTTTTAAGAGTGATGTTTCATTTATTTTTTAAAAAATATTTGATTGATCCCAGAGAGGAAGGGAGAGGGAGGGAGGGAGGGACAGAGAGAGAGAGAGAGAGAGAGAGAGAACCACCAATGATGAGAGAGACTCATGGATCGGCTGCCCGTGCACTCCCTCTACTGGGGACTGAGCTCAAACCCAGGCATTTGGCCCAACTGGGAATGAACCTTGACTTCCTGGTTCGTAGGTCGACGTTCAGCCACTGAGCCACGCTGGCTGGGCCAGGGCTTTGCTTCCTGTGGCCGCACCAGGTCATCGCCATCGCGAAGGCGCAGAGCGTTAAGCTTGAACGTCAGCACAGGCCTATCTGATGAGGTGCGAGGTCTGAGTGATGGAGAGGCTGTCAGGGACGGGAGAGGAGGAGGAGCCCAGGGGGACACACGGAGCGGGACGTGCCAAGGCCCCGAGGCACCGAGAGTGTGATCAGGATCAGGACCCGAGAGGAGGATCACACAAAACGGCCCCAGGGGCCTGGAGGCCATGGTGAGGGGCGTGCAGGAGGCAGCCCATCCATGACTCTCCCTCGTCATGGATGTGACCGTGGTAGTGAGCGGGGGTGGCGAAGCATCTCATTAGAAGAGTTGTCCATGAAAAACTGCTGTATGTTTCCATTCAAGAAAGCTCAGTGCTTCTGTGATCCCCATGTTCTATGAGTAACTGTGGCCTCGATGGTCAGTGCCCTGGCCCAGGTCCCGGGGAGGGCACGCCTGCTCTGCTCCCCGCTGCCCTTCTGCGTGGAAGAGGAGAGCATTTGACAGTGCGTGGCTCCGTGGCTGAGCGTCGACCTGTGAACCAAGAGGTCAATTCCCGGTCAGGGCACATGCCTGGGTTGTGGGCTCCATCTCCAGTGGGGGGCGTGCAGGAGGCAGCCAATCCATAATTCTCTGTCATCATGGATGTTTCTATCTCTCTCCCTCTCCTTCCTCTCTGAGATCAATAAAAAAATATTTTTAAAATAAATAAGTAAAGTGTTGGGTCCCCATGACATTTTATTTCCTCCCAGGAGTGACTGGGTGACCTCCTACAAGGTCATGGTGAGCAACGACAGCCACGCGTGGGTCACGGTGAAGAACGGGTCCGGAGACATGGTGAGTCTCCTCCTGGGGCCCTCGGTGCCGCTGGGGGCCCTGCAAGGCGGGCGGGTGTGCCCCATGTGTGCCCCATGTGTGCCCCGTGTGTGCCCTGGATGTGTCCTGTGTGTGCCCTGTGTGTGCCCCGGGTGTGCCTCATGTGTGCCCCGTGTGTGCCCTGGGTGTGCCCTGGTGTGTCCTGTGTGCCCCATTTGTGCCCTGGGTGTGCCCCGTGTGTACCCCGTGTTTGCCCTGTGTGTACCCTGTGTGTGCCCCGTGTGTGCCCCATGTGTGCCTCGTGTGTGCCCTGGGTATGCCCTGTGTGTACCCTGGGTGTGCCCTGTGTGTGCCCCGGGTGTGCCCCGGAAGTTTGCTGATTTTCTGCCAACTCGGTACCCACAGCTCTGATGGGTGACGCCCCCTTCCGTGCCCGGAAGCGCAGCACCAGTGTCCCTCGTCCAGGGCTCATGTAGGGCTCAGTCTTCCAGTCACAGTCAGCCCTGGAAGTGGGGGCCCTTGGCCACGTCCCCCAGCTGTTCATTCAGTTGTGACCGATCCCTGACTTGCTTGAATGGCCACAATCTTTCGGCCCAGGATCGGCTCCAGGGCGGCCAGTCTGACCACGTCCCCCTTCTTCCTCGGGTCCGCTAGCTCCTGACTGGCGTCCAGTGTCCGCACGACCTGAGCGTGGCCTCCCTTTCCCTTCTTACCCCCCACGCACTCGCGTGTTCCCGAGAGCCAGCGGCCCTCCCTCTGCGCCCGTCTCGGCCCCGCGCCATCACTGCTGCTTCTCTAGAGCCCGCCCTTCCCTGCAGCCCTGCACACTCTGCCTTCGGGCCATTCGGGGCCATTCGCACGCACTGCACCCTGAGCCGCACGGGTCCTGTCCTCTGGGAGCCCAGCTCTGAGGCTGTCCCCCTGCCGTGGCCCTAGTGGTTTCGGCGGGGACATCTCAGTCCCCCACCCCCGCCCAAAAAGGGGCTTCCTGCGGGCAGGGCCCAGCTGATCGGCTCTCCCCACCTCGACGCCAGCACGCGTGTGGAGCTCTCAGGGAGGCCTGGGTGAGCGAGTGCGTCTGTTACCCCGGACCCGCCAGCGCTGAAAGGCTCTCCCTCCCCGTGTGTGAGCAGGTGTTTGAGGGGAACAGTGAGAAGGAGGTCCCCGTCCTCAACGAGCTGCCGGTGCCCATGGTGGCCCGCTACCTCCGCGTCAACCCGCAGTCCTGGTTCCAGGACGGGAGCATCTGCCTGCGGCTGGAGGTCCTCGGCTGCCCGCTGCCCGGTGAGCGTGTCCCCCGCGCCCCTGAGGTGCCCCAAAAGGGGAGTCAAATAGACCAGGCCCGGCCGGTGTGGCTCAGGGGTTGAGCATCGACCTATGAACCGGTTCGATTCCCAGTCAGAACACAGGCCCGGGATGCGGGCTCCATCCCCAGTGTGGGGCGTGCAGGAGGCAGCCGATCTGTGATTCTCTCTCATCGTTGATGTTTCTCTCTCTCCCTCTCCCTCTCCCTTCCTCTCTGACATCAATAAAAACATATTTAAAAAGAAACATATCTACTGCAAAACGTTTAGAAAACACGAGTAAGCCAAAAGCAAATAAACAAAGAACTCCCATAATCCCCTCAGCAGCACCAGGACCACCCTGGCCGCGCAGTGCCAGTGGCCGTGGCCCGCCTGCAGGGGTTTTAGGTCGAGGCTTAGTTCAGGGTTGAAAACGCATCCACTCGCCACCCCCAAGCGAGCGGTAACGCCGTGCAGTGTCCTGAGTGCTCCCGCCACGGCAGGGGAGCCGGAGGGAGCTCACTGTAAACCTGACCGTGTACCCAGCGCCTTTCTGCTGACGCAGCTTCCCTTGGATGCGCGTGTCTTTGGGTAAATGTCTATCCCTTTAGGTTGTAACCCTTTGCCCTGTTTTCACAAGATGGGGTGTCTGGCTGGGACCTCAGGGTGGTGGGCAGCTGGGGGCTTAGTTCCCACAAACCACCTGGATCCGGGCTGGTGTTGGCTGTGGACGGCTGATCTGGCCCGGCCCCTGTCTGGCTTTCAGAGCTTATGCGTTTGTGCCCACATGGAGCCTGTAGGCGGCCTGTTCATCCTGACCAGGCGTCTCCAGGAAACTGGACCCCTCCCCCCCCCTCCCCCCCCCCCAAGCATCCTTTCAGCCCCTCAATAGTCCTATAGGAATCTGCACCTTCCCGCCCACCCAGAGCCAGGCCTCAGGGAGCAAGCCGCACTGCTCCGGGCTCTCTCTGATACACACCTGCCCAGGGAGGCTCCCCCGTTCCCGTGCCCTGTGGGGTCAGGCCTTGCTGCCTCTGGGTTGTGAGCTCAATCCCCAGAAGGGGGCGTGCAAGAGGCAGCCAATCCGTGATTCTCTCTCACATCACTGTTCCCTCTCCCCGCCTCTCTCCACTCCTCCTCACTCCTCCGCCCTCTCCTTTCTGCTAAGTGCTGTGTGGTTTTGTGATTACGGAAGCAATACAGGCTTCTACAGTCAGAGGCAGGAAAGAACCAGAAAGTCCGTTTATATGGAGGGGGTCGATTCAAGAGCAGACAGGTCCTCTGCAGACCCCGGAATCCCAGGCCCCAGAGGCGACCACTGTCAACACCTCCTGACTCTGCTATTGGGGCACTTCCAGCCCAGCACCAGTTCCCCAGCTCCCACTCGAGTAGCGGGTGAGGGGGCCCTTCATCGTGTGACCGGAAGTCCAGGGAAACTGGGCTCCAGCGTTGGTTTACGCGTTCGCTCCTGGTGTTTTGGGGTTCTCTCTGGCCTGTGCCCTGGAGAGATTCTCACTCACTCCTCCGCTGTGACGTGGAAGTCCTTCCCTCCAATCTGCAGCAGTAACAGTGGCCCGGGGTGTGATGCTCTTATTGGCTCAGACCTGTCACGTGGGCCCCAGGAGCTGGGAGTGTGAGGCCTGTTTCTGAGAATGGAGGGGGGGTGGGTCCCCAAATGGCACAGGGTTTCTGTTAGGAGGGATGGCAGTGGACTGAAAGCTGGGTAAGCAACTGAGAGTGTCCACCACACTTGCAAAGATTCCCATTTCTGCAGGCAGCGTGGCATTCATTCATCGACTCATTCATTCATTCATTCATTCATCCCTCGACTCATTCACCCATTCATCTATCCACCCATCCACCCATCCATCCATCCACCCATCATCCATCCCTCCCTCCATCTATCCATCCATCTATCCACTCATCCATCCATCCACCCATCATCCACCCATCCATCCATCCACCCATCCATCCACCCACCCATCCATCCATCCACTCATCCATCCATCCACCCATCCATCCATCCACTCATCCATCCATCCACCCATCCATCCATCCACCCATCCATCCATCCACTCATCCATCCATCCACCCATCCATCCATCCACTCATCCATCCATCCACCCATCCATCCATCCACCCATCCATCCATCCACCCATCCATCCATCCATCCATCCATCCATCCATCCATCCATCCATCCATCCATCCATCCACTCATCCACCCACCCACCCACCCATCCATCTATCCATCCATCCATCCATCCATCCACCCAACCATCCATCCATCCAGTGCTGACAGGGTGCGAGGCACACAGGTCACGCCAACTCAGACCACAGAAAACCGCGGGGGGAGGGGCCAATACGTTTCTGTTTTCGGGTGAAGAAACCAAAGCAGAGACCCCCGTGCGGTGTCCAGGTCACACAGCCCATAAGTGGAAGAGCAGAGATCTGAGCCCAGGCGTCCTGGCTCCAGGCCCACACTCGCCATCACTGGGTAATTCTGACTCATAAGAAGCTTCTAGAAAGGTTCTCTCCCCTCTGTGGGATGGTGGAGATGGGCTGTGCCCTGCCCTTGAGTCAGGCGTCCAGCAGAGCCCCCACAGGTACCAGGAGACACCTAAGAACTCAGAGCCGTGTTCCTCTTTTTAGACCCAAACAACTATTACCACCGGCGCAACGAGATGACCACCACGGACGACCTGGACTTCAGGCACCACAGCTACAAGGAGATGCGCCAGGTGAGAGCCGGCGGGTCAGCGCGAGAGGGACGCGCCCGGGAAGAAGCACACGGGTTCTCCCCTTCGGAGACGCGGGTGACGAGCTAGGGACAGAGCCGGAATGAGCACCCGGGTTGGCGGGGCCACGGATGCTGTGGTTTCAGGTGGAGAAGGTGAGGAGGCATCAGGGGCTGCTCGCCAGCAGGTGGCGGGAATGGAATCCCACCCGGACGCTCCTGACTTGATTCTCTAGTTTCTTAGGCGTCTGTGTGCGAGGGATTCGCGGCTGTAAGGGTGTCGGTGGTGTGCAGAGTCCCAGGAGAAACAGGATCTAGGCCAGCGATGGTGAACCTTTTGAGCTCGGCGTGTCAGCATTTGGGAAACCCTAACTTAACTCTGGTGCCATGTCACATAGAGAATTTTTTTGATATTTGCAACCATAGTGAAACAAAGACTTATATTTTTGATATTTACTTTATATATTTAAATGCCATTTAACAAGGAAAAATCAACCAAAAAAAATGAGTTCGCGTGTCACCTCTGGCACGCGTGTCATAGTTTCGCCATCACTGCTCTAGTCACCGAGAATAGTGGTGGCAGGAAGCCCTCACCTCGGACCCGCGTTACTGATGGGGAAACTGAGTCACCGAACGTGCAGAACCCCACCCGTTGCTATTCAGAGACTCTGAGCCTCCCTCTTGGCTGTGTGGTAGAATCGCCTGGGGCGTTTGGAAAACTCTCTATACTTGACCCGCCTCGGACCAACGACAGCAGCAGGGCCCGGATGGAAACCTTCCATCTCTCCTTTGGATCGTAACGGACAGCCCGACCTCAGCACGCCTGACCGAGCCCCTCGAGCTCTGGGTGCTTTTGTGCTGTTCAGAGGAAAAGGAAGCCCTGGCTGGTGTGGCTCAGTGGATAGAGGGTCGGCCTGCAGACTGAAGGGTCCCAGGTTCGATTCCCCGGTCAGGGCACATGCCCGGGTGGTGGGCTCAATCCCCAGTAGGGGGCATGGAGGAGGCAGCTGATCAGTGATTCTCTCTCATCATTGATGTTTCTCTCTCTCTCCCTCTTCTTTCCTCTCTGAAATCAATAAAATATTTTTAAAAAAAAAAAAAAAAGAGGAAAGGGAATCCCAGAGAGGCCCCCTGCCCCCAACATAGTTACAGAGACCAAGGGGTTTTGGGGTGTTGACCGCCTTGGCATCCTGGGCAGTGAGGGGAGGAGGGGCCGATCTTTGGGGGGCAGGCTGCAGGGCAGCTCCTGCTGTCGGGGTTCGTCCCCCCACGGTGCTGGGCAGTGTGGGCAGGTGCCGCTAGTGAGAAATCCTTAGATATCAAAGGTGTTAAGGATTCCTAATGGTACAGACTAGATAAGTGTGTCCATGGGAGGTCGGTGTGAGACAGAGACATCAGAGAAGGGCCTCACGAGTACACTTAGAGGACAAGGAGCCACGAGGCCAAGCTCCCGTGGCTCAGAGCGGGACTCCGGGGCGGGGAGGAGGGACCGCGCCCGGCCAGGCTCAGGGACCGTCTGGAGGAGGAGCGGTGAGGCTGAGCCCGAGGGCTGGGGGCTCCCCGAGGCATCAGCAGGCCGGTGTCTGCGTGGCCTCTCGCGGGGACACTCACAGCTCCCGCTCCTGTCAGCGCAGACTCGGGGCGGACGTGCCGGAGAGACCGTCGCCGCCGCCCGTCTCAGAAACCACTGTAATGAGTTTGGACTCGAGGCCGTGAGTCACCCGCTCTGCACTGCGGGGTCACAGGCCCTGCCGCCGCCGGTTCCCGGAGCCCTCGTGTGCCAGCTCCCTGACTCCCTGCGCCCAGGGCCTCTCTGAGCCCCGGAGTCAGACACCAACTCGGCGCAATTACTGTCAAAAGCAATGCATGGAACGTGTTTCAGACGAGCTCCCTGCGCCGCGGCGGCAGCTGGTGTCTTTACATGGTCGCCCCACTTGCAGAAGTGGCCTCCTCTCCCACGAGAAGAGATGGGGACGCCTGGCTGCGGGGCGCAGGGGCTGAGCGCCGGCCTAGGAACCAGGAGGTCAGGGTTCGATTCCTGGTCAGGGCACAGGCCCGGGTTGCGGGCTCGATCCCCAGTGTGGGGCGTGCAGGAGGCAGCTGATCCATGATTCCCTCTCATCGTTCATGTCTCTCTCCCTCTCCCTTCCGCTCTGAGATCAATAAAAATATATGAAAACAAAACAAACAAAAAGGAGGAGCCACAGGAGGGAGAGGAGAGAGAGCAGAAGGCCCGCCGCCGGGAGGGACAGTGCTGAGGGCGCCGGTCCCAGGGGCAGGAGAGGGACTTCGGGAGGCGCTTCCCGCCCGGCCCGGTGGGTGGATGGGGAGGGCCCGAGGACGGTGCACAGACACTGGTCTCCGAGGGAGTTCGTGGCTCCCGAGAGCCGAAGGCCTCCACCGCACGGGTCCCGCTTTAGAATCGCTCAGTCCCGTGTTACATGTGTGTGACGTCTCCTGCGTGTGGGACCATGAGGGCCGAGACTCTCATTCTGTCACAACTTCCTCATGGCGCGGACTAGATAACTGTGCATGTGAGGCCGTCCCAGGGGAGAGACCTGGGGGGAGGGGAGGGAGGGGGGCCGCCTGGTCGGCCTGGGGGGGTGGGCGTCGGTGGAGATGGGGCGCCGTCCTCCGGCCCGTCGGGCCTGGGCAGCAGAGGCGGGCGAGGTTGCTCTGGGCAGGGAGGCGGCTCGAGCAGAGGCGTGGAGGTCGGGCCAAGGGCATGGTTCTGGAACGGTTGGCCGGCGCTGGGAGGGAGGCTGGCCTGGGTGCCCGGGAGGCGGCTGTGCGGAGTCTGAGCGTCAGGGGAGATTCTGCACCCGGAGCTGGGAGGTCAGGGTGGGGTGGCGTGGAGAGCAGCTGGCGGTGCTGGGGGCCGGCAGAGGGGCCCAGGAGGACATTCAGGCGCGAGGACCGCACGGGGTGTGGCGAGGGCGCCGTGGGGGCCGTGGGCGCCCTGCGGGCTGTGGGAGGGGGCAGGGGGCTGGCTGCTGGGAGGCCCCGCCCCTCCGTGCACAGCTGTCCCGGCTCAGGCCCTGGTCCGTCCTGTTTTCCAGTTGATGAAGGTGGTGAGTGAGATGTGCCCCAACATCACCAGGATCTACAACATCGGCAAGAGCCAGCAGGGCCTGAAGCTGTACGCCGTGGAGATCTCCGACCGGCCCGGGGAGCACGAAGTCGGTGAGGCCCCCCCGGGGCGCACGTGGCCGGTGGGGTCAGCCCTGGCGCAGGGCAGAGCCGGCCGCCCCTTCCCACTCGGTCCGCACCTGGGTCTCCGAGCCGCCCCTCCTCTGACACGGCCGCCGGCTGATTGATCCTGGAAATACCCTTTCCTGACAGGGGGGTGCGGGGGCGCCGTGTGAGCCCTGCCCCCAGCTCTGAGCCGGCCCACTGGCCGGGGAGGAAACGCCGGGTGCTTCGGACAAAGCCCTTTTCCACCAGAAACCCTGCACCCCTGCTCAGTAACGGCTCCGTCAGAGGAGGCCCCTGCACCCCTGCTCAGTAACGGCTCCGTCAGAGGAGGCCCCTGCACCCCTGCTCAGTAACGGCTCCGTCAGAGGAGGCCCCTGCACCCCTGCTCAGTAACGGCTCCGTCAGAGGAGGTCCCTGCACCCCTGCTCAGTAACGGCTCCGTCAGAGGAGGCCCCTGCACCCCTGCTCAGTAACGGCTCCGTCAGAGGAGGTCCCTGCACCCCTGCTCAGTAACGGCTCCGTCAGAGGAGGCCCCTGCACCCCTGCTCAGTAACGGCTCCGTCAGAGGAGGTCCCTGCACCCCTGCTCAGTAACGGCTCCGTCAGAGGAGGTCCCTGCACCCCTGCTCAGTAACGGCTCCGTCAGAGGAGGCCCCTGCACCCCTGCTCAGTAACGGCTCCATCAGAGGAGGCCCCTGCACCCCTGCTCAGTAACGGCTCCGTCAGAGGAGGCCCCTGCACCCCTGCTCAGTAACGGCTCCGTCAGAGGAGGTCCCTGCACCCCTGCTCAGTAACGGCTCCGTCAGAGGAGGTCCCTGCACCCCTGCTCAGTAACGGCTCCGTCAGAGGAGGCCCCTGCACCCCTGCTCAGTAACGGCTCCGTCAGAGGAGGTCCCTGCACCCCTGCTCAGTAACGGCTCCATCAGAGGAGGCCCCTGCACCCCTGCTCAGTAACGGCTCCGTCAGAGGAGGCCCCTGCACCCCTGCTCAGTAACGGCTCCGTCAGAGGAGGCCCCTGCACCCCTGCTCAGTAACGGCTCCGTCAGAGGAGGTCCCTGCACCCCTGCTCAGTAACGGCTCCGTCAGAGGAGGCCCCTGCACCCCTGCTCAGTAACGGCTCCGTCAGAGGAGGCCCCTGCACCCCTGCTCAGTAACGGCTCCGTCAGAGGAGGCCCCTGCACCCCTGCTCAGTAACGGCTCCGTCAGAGGAGGCCCCTGCACCCCTGCTCAGTAACGGCTCCGTCAGAGGAGGCCCCTGCACCCCTGCTCAGTAACGGCTCCGTCAGAGGAGGTCCCTGCACCCCTGCTCAGTAACGGCTCCGTCAGAGGAGGCCCCTGCACCCCTGCTCAGTAACGGCTCCGTCAGAGGAGGTCCCTGCACCCCTGCTCAGTAACGGCTCCGTCAGAGGAAGCCCCTAGTTTTTTGGGGTTTTTTGTTGTTGTTTTTTTAGAGAGAGAAGAAGGGAGAGGGAGAGAGAGAAACATCATCGATCGGCTGCCTCCTGCACGCCCCCTACTGGGGATCGAGCCTGCAACCTGGACCTGTAACCTGGGCCTGTGCCCGGACCGGGAATCGAACCCTGACCTCTCGGTTCCTGGTTTGATTAATGATCGTGCAGGAGGCAGCCGATCCATGATTCTCTGATCATTGATGTTTCTGTCCCTCCCTCCCCTTCTGTATGAAATCAATAAAAATATATTTAGAAGGAAAAAAAAGGCCAGCAGGCTGAGGTGGCCAGTGGCTGCCAGGCAGAGGGTTCCGAGCGGCTTGGCCGCAGCAGCTGACGTGCCTGTGTCCCCCCTGGTCCAGGGGAGCCCGAGTTCCACTACATGGCGGGCGCCCACGGCAACGAGGTGCTGGGCCGCGAGCTGCTGCTGCTGCTGGTGCAGTTCCTGTGCCAGGAGTACCTGGCGGGCAACACGCGCATCGTCCGCCTGGTGGAGGAGACCCGCATCCACATCGTCCCCTCCCTCAACCCCGACGGCTACGAGAAGGCCTCCGAGGGGGTAAGGGCCGCGCCGCTCCCGCCCGACCGCTGGCCCTGGCTGCACAGTGCCCTTGGCCCCGAGTTCAAGTCCACCCATGGGCCCCGGCCGGGCAGCCCAGTCATCCGGACCCGCCGAGGCCACAGGCCCCCTCCCCGGTCAGGGCGCTCACAAGAATCAAGCGATGAGCGCATAGATGAGTGGAACAGCAAATTGCTGCTTCTCTCTCTCTCCCTCCCTCCCTCCCTCCTGCCTCCCTCTCCCTTTCTCCCTCTTTAAGAAAAACCCCAACAAAATCAACAAATAGAAACCCCCACCAGTAGCTTCCTTGTTGAGTCTCTGCTGAGGCTGGGACACCACAAGGTCATGAGAGACTGGAACAGAGAATTTCGGGGACCCCGGGCAGGGCCCATGCCAGCAGACAGGAGGAAGCACCCCTGCATATAGACACAGTGATGAGAGAGCAGCGGCTGGCGCCTCACACAAGCCCTAGCCCAGGCCCCGGCCGGGAGCATGGCTCGCGGTCCTCCCATCTTTCCTATCCTGAGAGATCGGCTATGTGTCATGTGCTCCGTGCGATGTAGAGCGGCACAGGGCACGGTTAGGTGTAGAGCATGCGTGCATTGGATTGTGCATCCAATAGAGTTGGTGTTTCCTGGGAATAAAGTGGAAACTATACCTAAAGCCATGGGACCTGCCAAATGCAGCATCACCACGTGGAAGTCTGTTGTGCTTATCGACACAGACAGGGATTTGCTGCGACAGTCGGTTGGGGATCTGTGGGCCGGACAGCGAGGCTGTTGCGTTTGCAATGACGGACTTCTATTTTCATTCATTCATTCCATTCATTCAATTTTACATTTTTAAATTTTAGAGAGAGAGAGAGAGGAACATTGATGTGAGAGAGAAATACCAATCGGTTGCCTCCCATACGCCCCAACCAGAGATCAAATTCACAGCCCAGGCGTGTGCCCTGACTAGGAATCGAACTCACAACAGTTTGGTGTGCGGGACAATGAGTGCTCCAAGCAGCTGAGCCCCCGGCCAGGGCAGGACGGGCTTTTGGGTTCATTAGCGCTCAGTCTCCTCTGCCCAGCACAGCAGCCCTCAGAGAGGCATAAGGGGGAGAAGGGCCGGGACTGTGCAGGAGTCGCCCTGTGGAGTGGCTGTGCTGTGCACCCACAGATACCAGCAGGGGTTCCGATGGTGGCCTGTGGGTGTGGTCTTCGGTCAGACGTGTGGAGAGGCTTAGAGACACCTGGGGGGGGGGGGGGCCGGGGGAGGCGTCCCGTGTCCATGCCGCCCACAGTCTGCGGGCCCCTCTCCTTCTGAATTGCCTCCCAGGGCTCGGAGCTGGGGGGCTGGTCCCTGGGGCGCTGGACCCACGACGGGATTGACATCAACAACAACTTCCCCGACTTAAACTCGCCGCTCTGGGAGGCTGAGGCCCGACAGAGCAGCCCAAGGCCTGTGCCCAACCACCACATCCCTGTCCCCGAGTGGTTCCTGTCGGAGAACGCCACGGTGAGCAGAACGCGGGTCTGCCAGGCGCAGGGGGGCCAGTAGCGGGGGGCATGGGGGCTGTGGGGGACCATAGGGGGCCAGTGGGGGGCCGTGGGGCTGTGGGGGGTATGGGGGATGCTGGGGCCACAGGGGGGTGCAGGGGGGCTGTGGGGGCCACAGGGGGCTAGTGGGGGTCTGCAAGGGGGCCACAGGGCCAGCGGGGACCAACGGGGGCCTTGGGGGGCCGTGGGGGCTGTGGGGGACCACAGGGGGCTAGTGGGGGGTTGTGGGGGACTGCTGGGGCCACAGGGGGGTGCGGGGGGCTGTGGGGCCACAGGGGGCAGCGGGGGGGGCTGTGGGGGGGCTGTGGGGGGCCGCGGGAACACCCAGCGCATGGGCAGAGAATGTGACATTTCAGAAGGAGACAGAGCCACATCTTCTCTTACACATTTTCTCCCAGAGTCGGAAGAGCTAGATAATAAAACACCTTCAAATGGGTATTCGAGGAGATTCTTTATAAAAATCCTTTAAATATATTTCTTTACAAGAACACAGAAAAAAACACAACAGGAAAAAGCACGCCACCGTTATTTGTTCTTTTCTGCGGCTGCCACTGAGCCGGCCCTCAGCTGTACAGACCCCTGGGGGGCGTGCGCATTAAAGCCGGCAGGACCATGGCCCGAAGGCACCACAGCGTCTCATGTGAACAGTTGTATCTGCAAGATGGGACTCCTGTTTCAGACAGGAAACCATTGCCATTATCGCTTACAAATAAAGGGTTCCTTAATGTTATAAAATGTCCAGCCATCTTCACATTTCACTATATTACTCTTTCTTTCATCTTGTTTAAATCAGGACCCAAATAAAGTGCATTCATTTAGGTTGTTTTATGACCTTTTAAGTCTCTATTTATTTTTTAAACATGTTTATTGATGTCAGAGCGGAAGGGAGAAGGAGAGAGACAGAAGCATCAATGATGAGAGAGAATGATGGATCGGCTGCCTCCTGCACACCCCACACTGGGGATCCAGCCCCCAGCCCGGGCCTGTGCCCTGACCAGGAATCGAACCCTGACCTCCTGGTTCATAGGTTGACACTCAACCACTGAGCCACATGGCCAGGCAGGTTTCTCTTTTTTAAATCCATTTTTTCTGTGAAGTCCAGTGCTTTCGGGACAGATTTAGAAATTCTAAGCTGGGCTCAGAGTCTCCATACAATGGCTGCTTTCCCGCCAAGTCCCTGTTGGGGTGACGGGGAGCAGGCCTCCTCCTCACGTGGTCCCCGGCGTCAGGGAGCGGGCCTCCTTCTCACATGGTCCCCGGCGTCGGGGAGCAGGCCTCCTCCTCACGTGGTCCCCGGCGTCAGGGAGCGGGCCTCCTTCTCACATGGTCCCCGGCGTCGGGGAGCAGGCCTCCTTCTCACATGGTCCCCGGCGTCGGGGAGCAGGCCTCCTCCTCACGTGGTCCCCGGCGTCGGGGAGCAGGCCTCCTCCTCACGTGGTCCCCGGCGTCGGGGAGCGGGCCTCCTCCTCACGTGGTCCCCGGCGTCGGGGAGCGGGCCTCCTCCTCACGTGGTCCCCGGCGTCGGGGAGCAGGCCTCCTCCTCACGTGGTCCCCGGCGTCGGGGAGCGGGCCTCCTCCTCACGTGGTCCCCGGCGTCGGGGAGCGGGCCTCCTCCTCACGTGGTCCCCGGCGTCGGGGAGCAGGCCTCCTCCTCACGTGGTCCCCGGCGTCGGGGAGCGGGCCTCCTTCTCACATGGTCCCCGGCGTCGGGGAGCAGGCCTCCTCCTCACGTGGTCCCCGGCGTCGGGGAGCAGGCCTCCTCCTCACGTGGTCCCCGGCGTCGGGGAGCAGGCCTCCTCCTCACGTGGTCCCCGGTGTGGGTGCTCGCAGGTGGCGGCGGAGACCAGGGCGGTCATCGCCTGGATGGAGAAGGTCCCCTTCGTGCTGGGCGGCAACCTGCAGGGCGGCGAGCTGGTGGTGGCCTACCCCTACGACATGGCCCGGTCCCCCTGGAAGACGCAGGAGCGCACGCCCACGCCCGACGACCACGTGTTCCGCTGGCTGGCCTACGCCTACGCCTCCACCCACCGCCTCATGACCGACGCCCGCCGGCGCGTGTGCCACACCGAGGACTTCCAGAAGGAGGACGGCACCGTCAACGGGGCCTCCTGGCACACCGTGGCCGGAAGTGAGTCCTCCCGTCCTGTCCGCAGTGTCGCTGCCCTGACACCGCAGCTCCCGGAGGTCCAGGTCCCAGCTCTGCAGCGGCCCAGTCTCGGAGGGGCGGGCTCGCTCCCATTTCACAGGTTCTCCACCTCAAATCCACCCTTTTGCAAAGCACGAACGTGACGTGCCAAAGGGCGACGTGGAGAAGCTGATGAGAGAGCTGGGGCTCGGACTCGGGAAGGGGCGGAGCTGGGCTGTTGGACTCCGTGGTCTGCTCTCAGCCACTGAGTGTCTCCATTGTGTGGGGTCAGAGATGGTGGGGGGAGACTTGGGGAAATATTGGCCCCAAGAGCAAACCCAGCCCGGCCGGCGTGGCTCAGTGACTCATGAACCGAGGTCAGGGTTCAATTCCCGGCCAGGGCACAGGCCAGGGCTACAGGCTTGATCCCCAGTGGGGGGCGTGCGGGAGGCAGCGATCCATGGCTCTCTCTCATCATTGATGTTTCTCTCTCCCTCCCTCTCCCTTCCTCTCTGCAATCATTAACGTAAGAAACATGCCCCTGATTTATCTTCACAGGAAAGAACCAGCATGTGGCCAGGCCATTACTGAATCCCCGCAGCACACAGGGTTGGGGTGGAGAGGGTGTGAGCTGTCCAGGTGGCCGACAGCACATGTCCTAGGACAGCGGTTCTCAACCTTCCTAACGCCGCGGCCCTTTAATGCAGTTCCCATGTTGTGGTGACCCCCAGCCATAAAATTATTTTCGTTGCTACTTCATCACTGTCATGTTGCTACTGTGATGAATCGTCATGTAAATATCTGATATGCAGGATGGTCTTAGGCGACCCCTGTGAAAGGGTCATTCGACCCCCAAAGGGGTTGCGACCCACAGGTTGAGAACTGCTCTCCTAGGAGGATTCCCCTAGACCAGTGGTCGGAAAACTCATTAGTCAACAGAGCCGAATATCAATAGTACAACGATTGAAACTTCTTTGAAAGCCAAATTTTTTAAACTTAAACTATATAGGTAGGTACATTGTTATTAACTTAATTAGGGTACTCCTAAGGCTTAGGAAGAGCCACACTCAAGGGGCCAAAGAGCCGCATGTGGCTCGCGAGCCGCAGTTTGCTGACCACGGCCTTAGACAAAGGGAGGTGCCGCATTCCTTCCGTGAGGTCAGCAGTAGCGCTCAGAGCAGCCGCCTGCCACACGCCCTCAGCGGCTGCGGCGGCTGATTTTTTCCATCAGTTACGTTTCCCGTTATTTCAGGGACTTGGCGGCAGAGCCTTGCGGGGGTCGAGCCTCTGTCATCACCCCCGCCAGGCAGTGTGACTGACAGGCCTGTGGAGTCATTTCTCGGTGGGTTAATGAGATGCGCTTTCTAAGATCCCTGCCTCCCCCTCCGCCTCCTCGCCTCTTCCTGCTCAGGGCCCTGGCTCCTTAGCAGTGCTGAGCAGAGAGCGGCCCCCATCTCCAAATGCACCGCCTGTGCCTCCCCCACGGCGGTGTCGGCCCGCTCTGCTCCGAGCCCTCCCACCGTGAAGGCAGCTCCGGGTCCATGTGGAAGTTCGTGACTGTAGTGGGGTTCCAGGCCCAGAGCTGCGTGTCGCTGTCCCCGCCAGGACTGATGGCGCGGGAAGGGCTGTCGGGGTCACACCACAGTATCCTGCGCGCTCAGGGGCCGGTCTCCCCACAAGCCCTTCCGCGGCGCCCTCCCCTCCCTCCGCCCAGCCCCTCCCCGCACTCGCTCTAACGAATGTTCTGTCTCCAGTAGCTGCCCGACGCCCAGTCCACGTGCCGGCCCTCAGGCACGTCCTCCTGTGCCCGGCGCCCCGCGGTGCCTGGCTCAGCTTCCTGTCGTGCGGTTGGCTTGGCAGGTCTCAACGACTTCAGCTACCTCCACACGAACTGCTTCGAGCTGTCCATCTACGTGGGCTGTGACAAGTTCCCGCACGAGAGCGAGCTGCCCGAGGAGTGGGAGAACAACCGGGAGTCCCTGATCGTGTTCATGGAGCAGGTACGGCGTGGGCCCGCGCTGCCGCGGGGTGGCTAAGGAACGAGGCTGACAGTGAGACCGAATTAGTGCTTTGGACCCTGGCCGTGGTCCCGGGTCGCTGTGGTCTCAGGTCTCCGTGGTCCCAGGTTGCCATGGTCCCGGGTCTCCATGGTCCCAGGTCGCCGTGGTCCCGGGTCGCTGTGGTCCTGGATGGCTGTGGTCCCTGGTTATCATGGTCCCGGGTCTCCATGGTCCCAGGTCACTGTGGTCCCAGGTCACTGTGGTCCTGGGTCTCCATGGTCCTGGGTCGCTGTGGTCCTGTGTCTCCATGGTCCCGGGTCTCCATGGTCCCAGGTTGCCGTGGTCCCGGGTCGCCATGGTCCTGGGTCTCCATGGTCCTGGGTCGCTGTGGTCCTGGGTCTCCGTGGTCCCGGGTCGCTGTGGTCCTGGGTCTCCATGGTCCCGGGTCGCTGTGGTCCCGGTTGGACACTCCAGTGCGGAAGGAGCCGTCTGCTCTTCCTTCCTCTCTATATGCTAAGTCTACAGGGCTCAGGAAAGTTAAACTATGTGCATATCGAAATCCCAGCTTTAGTGGATTTTTAAAAGATGAATGTTTTTATTGATTATAGAGAGAGGGGAAGGGAGAGGGAGAGAGATGGAAACATCAATTGGCTGCGTCCTGCACATCCCCTGCTGGGGATCGAGCCTGAAACTCGGCATGTGCCCTGACCGGGAATCGAACCGGCAACCTTTGGTCCATGTGCCCACGCTCAGCCACTGAGCCACACTGCCCGGGCTAGCGGGCTTCTTTTTATGACCCCCTCAGACCCTCACACGTTTAAACGTCTGACAGATTTCACTCCAATGGGAGACTCTGAGAGCCTGCAGCGAGCTCGCTGCCTCGCAAGCTCCACATCGCAAGCCCTGTAATCAAAGACGCTTACACTCCAGGCCCACACGGCGCCAGGGAGCTCTCGAGCTGGGCGTGGCAGTGTGAGGGCTCCTGGTGGCCCGGGCGGCCTGAGGGTCATCGTGCTCACTGTGCCATGGTGGTGGTGGGGGGTGCGTGTCGGTGAGCTCACCGCGTCTTGTCGTGTTTGCCGAGCAGGTGCACCGCGGCATCAAAGGCCTGGTGACGGATTCCCACGGAAAAGGCATCCCGGACGCCATCATCTCCGTCGAAGGCATCAACCATGACGTCCGAACAGGTAAGCGCCTGCCTGTGTGGAATCCCCCTCACGGCGGGAAACGTGCATTTCCTGGGAGGTTTGAGGGGTGAATGGACATTACAGGGTGTCCCCAGGAGTGCACAGTGGACGGTGAGCCAGGGAAGGCCCCTTCCTGGCCCGTGCTGCTCCCTCTGGAGAGAAGGAGGGGGGCTTTCCCCCCCAGATTGTCCTCATGCATAACCTGACCCTGTGCTCCCGACAGGTCATCCCATTGATCTGGGAGGAAACTGAGGCTGGGACGTGAGGCGGGGTGAGGCTGGCATCAGACCTGGCCACGTGCCCTTCAGTCCAGGCTGCCTGCCCACGCATGTGCCTGGCACCGAGGCCAATGGCTATGGAAATGGGCGTGGTGTGTCTGCAATGCCACAGAGCCGTTGTCTGCTGTGTAACACCCTGAGTCATGTGCTTCCTGTGCGGTTTCCTATTTCTTTACTCAACAGTGTTTCCATGCCGGGTAGCACGGCACTAGGTACAGAGCAACCCCCTTAGGCATCCAGCACTCATCCATCATCTATCTATCCATCATCCATCATCCATTATCCATCAGCCATCATCCATCAGCCATCATCCATCATCCATCCATCCATCCATCCATTCATCCATTATCCATCCACCCATTAATTTATTCATCCATTTACTCATCCATCCATTCATCCATCCATCCATCCATCCATCCCATCATCCATCCATCCATTCATTTATTCATCTATCCATCCATCCATCCATCCATTCATTTATTCATCTATCCATCCATTATCCATCCATCCATTCATTTATTCATCTATTCATTCATTCATTCATTCATTCATTCATTCATTCATTCATTCATCCATCCATCCATCCATCCATCCACTCTCAACAAATGGGCATGGGAACTCACAAGGAGATGGCAGTCTTTATGAATGGAAGAGGCTGTTTGATTGGCTCCGCACAGGACTGTATTTTAAGCATTGCCAATGAGCCCCTTTAAAAGAGTGATTCATAAAAAAGCCTGGAACATTCTGGGACTATTAGTGCCGTGTGCGCACTGCGAGGAGACATGAGGGTTTTAAATGGAGCGGGAGATAACAGGGCCCCGGGGCCCCGAGCCTGCAGAGAGCTCGCCGCCTCACGAGCTCCGAGCTGCAAGCCCTGTAATCAGGGAGACAGCTTTGATGATCCGCCGGGCTCCCCTCCCTCCGCCTTTGTTTCCCCCGTAAGTGATTTCCCAGCGCGTCCTCACGTGGCGAAGCCCATACTTCACACGCGATGCTTCCCCGCGTTGGTTTCAGCGCCTCTGGGTACCCCGCGTCAGCTCCGAATTCGCTTGATTTCTGTCTGAAGCTTATGGGGTCTGACAGGTTTTATTTCAGGAGGGATTTTGTGTAAAATAAACAGCGGGATTAGATGACAGCAGCATGAGATGGATTCTACCGGGAAGGCAGCCAGAAAGAGCGCCTCCTCGTTACATGTACCTACTAGCCCGGGGGCCAGGGACCAGGCTGCGATGCCACGGGACTGCCCTCTGCCCGGTGGGCCCTGACCTGCTCACAGTGGACACTCGCTAGGGCCTGGTGGGCCCTCTGTCCACGTGTCCACCTCTGTCCACCCGTGTCCGGGCGCAGGGTCCGGTAGGAGGACACAGCCTGGGAAGGGCTGGCTCGGTCCGCTCTGGGAGCTCCATGGGGGCACCGTGCTGGGAGGTGCAGGCTGACTGGTCGCAGGACCAAGGCTTCTCGAGATGGCATTGCGTGCCCTGGCCGGTGTGGCTCAGTAGATGGAGCATCGGCCTGTGGACTAAAGGGTCCTGGGTTCGAGTCCAGTCAAGGGCACATGCCTGGGTTGCAGGCTTGATCCCCAGTAGGGGGCGTGCAGGAGGCAGCCGACCAATGATTCTCTCTCATCATTGATGTTTCTATCTCTCCCTCCCTCTCTCTTCCTCCGTGAAATCAATAAAAATACATTTAAAAAATAAAAATAAAAACATTAAAAAAAATATATTTTATTGATTTTTTACAGAGAGGAAGGGAGAGGGATAGAGAGTCAGAAACACCGATGAGAAAGAAACATCAATCAGCTGCCTCCTGTGCACCCCCTACTGGGGATGTGCCCGCAACCAAGGTACATGCCCTTGACCGGAATTGAACCTGGGACCCTTCAGTCCGCAGGCCGACACTCTATCCACTGAGCCAAACATATTTTTTTAAAAAGATGGCATTTTGTGGTGAGAGGCGAGGGGCAGGGCCAGACCATTCGGAAGCTCACGTGCAGAATGAATGGCGCATCGACCCCGGGGAAGCGGTTAGAGGTGACTTCTCCATCTCCGCCCACGTGTACGGACACTGTGGGGAGCCCATCCCAGACCCTGCCTGTCAGAAAGGGACTTCCAAAGAGGACGAGTGCATCTGCAGGAACTGGGGCTCCCCACAGCCGCCCCGAGTCTCTCTGGACTCACGGGGCTGGGGGTCCGCGTTAGACAAGAGCTGCCCGAACCCCCGCTTTCTCTCCCCAGCCAGCGATGGCGATTACTGGCGCCTCCTGAACCCCGGCGAGTATGTGGTCACGGCCAAGGCGGATGGCTTCAGCGCGTCCACCAAGAGCTGCATGGTTGGCTACGACATGGGCGCCACGCGGTGCGACTTCAGGCTCGGCAGGACCAACCTGGCCCGGATCCGGGAGATCATGGAGACGTTCGGGCGGCAGCCTGGCAGCCTGCGCGCCCGGCAGCCCCGGCTCCGGGGGCGCAAGAGGCGGCAGCGCGGGTGACCTCCCGGCACTGAGCCAAGGCCCAGACCCCGCCGAGGACACCCTGGGGCCGTGGGGCCGTAGAGGACCCATTGCCTGTAGGCTCTGTCGTTCCCGGAGGCTGGGAGAACCCACGCGTGCCCGGCAAGCCTGGTCCCGGGGCAGGCCCGCGGGTCGGGGTCTCCTTTCCTTCGTTCCCACGTATCCAAATAGCTTGGAAAGCCCAGCGGAGAAAGGCTGGCGGGTGCGGGCTCGGCCAGCCAGGCAGGATCAGGGAGCGCGGGGCTGACCTGCCCGGGGCTCCTGGCTGCGTGGTGGGCCCAGCGCTTCCCCTGCTCGCGTGACAGGAGCCCCTCGTGTGTGCCATGTGCCCGGCTGAAACCGCTGCCCCGGGCCTGCTGTCCCCGGTGTCACCCTTCCCGCTGCTCAGGGCATGCTAGCAGAGGCCGCCCTCTCGGCCGGGCATTCCCGCTGCTGCCCAGCAAGCCCATGTCTGTCGACAACAGCGACATCACCAAGCGAGCGGCAGGCGGCGGCCTCTGCGTCAGTTTCCCTTCTCTCTCATCAGCGGGAGAAAGGCTGGAATAATTCCAGGGGAAGCCTGGGCAGCAGGCGTGCTCGGGGGCTGGTTGCATGCAGACGGGGCTTACAGAGAACCCCCAAATTCCCCCCTGGTGCGGCAGCCTGAGGGGCTCCCTGCTGGTGACAGGAGGAGGTGCTTCCCATGAAACCACATCTCGTCAGGCTCCTCTGTGAGCCGCTGGGACTTGGAAAGAGATGCCGGCTGACCTGCGACCTCCCTCTGCCCCAGGCCCCCTCCTCCGTGGAGGTGCGCCCCTAAACTGCCCCACACGCAGGGGTCACGGTGGACACTCCCTCAGGATTGTCCGCGGAGCCTCATTCAGGGCGTATTGGAATGACCACGCGAGAAAACGCGTCTCGTTGTTATTACTGTTGCTGCCTCGCTGACCCGGGAGAGTCAGGAAATAAAGAAAGCAAATGGGGAGAGGCCTCCGTGTCGTTTCCTGGGGAGCCTCGCGGCCACGCCGAACGGCCACGCCCAGCGGTACTGGCTGGAGCGCCAGGTTCCCCGCAGCCTGACTGCACTGAGCTGGGCCACCCGGCTCTGCGAGCTCTTCGTCCTGCGGCCTGTCCCCTGCCACACACACAGCCCCACAGCCACGGCCACACACACACACACAGCCCCACGGCCACACACAGCCCCACGGCCACACACACACACACACACACACACAGCCCCACAGCCACGGCCACACACACACACACACACAGCCCCACGGCCACACACAAACACACACACAGCCCCACGGCCACACACAAACACACACACAGCCCCACGGACACACACACACACACACACAGCCCCACGGCCACACACACACACACACACACACACACACACACACACACAGCCCCACGGCCATGGCCAAGGTCACACACACACACACACAGCCCCACGGCCACACACACACACACACACACACACAGCCCCACAGCCACGGCCACACACACACACACACACAGCCCCATGGCCACACACAAACACACACACAGCCCCACGGCCACACACAAACACACACACAGCCCCACGGACACACACACACACACACAGCCCCACGGCCACACACACACACACACACACACACACACACAGCCCCACGGCCATGGCCAAGGCCACACACACACACACACAGCCCCACGGCCACACACAGCCCCACGGCCACACACACACACACACACACACACACAGCCCCACGGCCATGGCCAAGGCCACACACACACGCACACACAGCCCCACGGCCATGGCCAAGGCCACACACACACGCACACACAGCCCCACGGCCACACACACACACAGCACCATGGCCATGGCACCAGGAGTCCAGGGGAATTAGGAAAAAGAAGTTGGAGGTGGAGGGCGAGTATTCGGTGCCGTTGCGGGTGGACAGACGAGCAAGGCAGGCCTTTAGGTCAGTGAGTCCAGGCTGGCCACCGGGCTCTCTCTCGCAGGCCGACTCGGGCTCATCGGGGGTAGTTGCTTGGAGCTCTGTGTTAAGAAGGGTTCTGAGGCAGGGTCCTGGCTGTTGGGGGGGAGAATGCTGTGTGTGCTGCGGGGATGGGCGGGAAGGGCTGACAGCTGGTTGCCTCGAGTTTTCTATCCTTGAATTAGTTTGGTCCCCGGGATGTGGCGATGGGGGCCCACGGAGGGGCACAGTGTCCAAAGTCAGGGTTGTGCCACTGGTAGGGCGGTCATCCCTCCCTGGTGACCGTGGGCGGGGGGAGGACGGGAGGACAGGGGACTGCCAGCTGCATTGGGAAGGTGAACCAGAGTTCGCAGCAGGCCAGAGAGTGGGAGCCATGGCACGGAGACACAGGCGTGTCTGAGGAGCTGTGGGAGGACCCCCCCACCTCCTGCCCCCGGTTAGACAGGGAGAAAGGGAGGCAGGGAAGGCGGGGAGGACAGAGAGGGCAGCATGGTGCCGGGCAGTGCTGGCCTGGGGTTCGAACCGTTCACTGTGGGCCTGCAGGCCGGGGAACACGCAATGTTGCAGGGATACACGGAGCGAGCCCACTCTCGCTGGGAAGGGACGGGGCCAGGTCAGCGAGTCTAAAAACACGGACGCTGAGAGCCTTCCTGCTCACAAGCAGCGTGGGAGGTGTTTATGCTGTAAAAGGAGGACAAACGGGCTTTTTAAAAAGCCGGAAGCTGTAGGCAGTCTCCAGGGTTTTGGTGCAAACCCATCTGGCAGGTCTGGTGCCTTCGCACACACTTTCCTGGCATTCGCTCGCCCAGCGCGGGGCCCCCAGGGCCTCAGCGGAGCTGGGGGTGGGGCGTGGGGGGGGGCAGTGATCCCACCCTCCTGGTGGGAAGGGAGGCTGGGCTGGCGCCGACTTGACTGCGTGCTTTTCCGATTATGGAGACGCAGGGATCTGGGGGGATCGTGTTTAGTGAAAGGATTTAGGCCGAGAGACGTGTGGGGTGAGCATGTGGAGCAGGAGGATGGCCACATGGGATGCGTTGTCGACCTGAGGCCTTGGTGTGGGGTCCCTGAACTCAAGTCTGAGACAGGACCTCAGTGCAGGGGGCTTATTGGGGGGGGGGGGGTGATCCCAGGAAGAAGAGGAAGGCAGCGGCCTGGATGCTGTGGTGAAGTCACTGCGGTCAGGTCGCTGAGTTGGGCCGTGGCAGGTCAGGCCCGGGGAACTCTGGGAAGAGTGGATGCTCGTGCTGTGGTCCTCGTGGGGGACAGGAGGCGGAGCTGGGGTGAGGCCTGGGGGGCTCTGGGGGTCAGGGCAGGGATGAGTGTGGGGAGCAGGCAGCAGGGAGCCGGGAGGGGCACTTCCAGCAGGAAGGGGGGCTTAGGCACTGGGGCAGGAGGGGCGGCTAGGGCGCTGGCACTGGTCCCCGAAATGCACCTGCGACCCCAGGAGAGCCTGGCTGAGAGGTGGGTCCCAGAAGGGGCAGGGCCCCCACTCCCCTGAACAAAAGCCTTTCTGCTGGGCTGTCTCTTCAGAGGTCTTGGGGTGTGAACTCCCGCCATCTGTGCAGCCACAGTGACAGGCACAGGGGCCCGGAGCCGCCCGGCTCATGAGATTGGGGGCCACACACATCAGTGGGGAGCCCTCCCGACTCCCCGTCCAGCTCCGATCCATCCAGCGAGGGCAGCGCCAGGCCTAGCAGCAGGGACTGTGCAATGGGAAGGGCGGGCTGGGCTGGCCCCCGGGGCATTGGCCGGGGGCAGGGAGGGCTCCACCTTCTGCAGGAACTGAAACCGGCCAGCAGAGGGCGACAGCCTCTGCCGCCCCCCCAAGGCAGACAGCTGGGTTGGGGGACCACACCTGGTTCCCCATCTGCAGGGGGAGGGGGAGGGGAGGCTGAGGGAAGGCTCTGGGGCCTGGTGGGCATCCCACTGCCCTGGGAGGCCTGCGCTGCCTGCCACTCTGCAGACGGTCCCTCCGGTGCCCGCACTGCGCAGGCCGAGCCCTCCAGGAGCCGGACGCCAGCACAGACTCGGTGCTCATGGCGTTTCTGGGGAGTGGGGGGGATGCAGACAGAGTGCCCACCTGGTGTCTGTACCCCACTGTCTAAGGGGTCAACCCACCGGCCCCTCCCAGACTGGTTTGAGGTCCCTGAGGCTGCAGGAAGGACCTGGGGGACCAGTGACAGGCTGGGTCCCGGGCTCAGCAGGTCCCTGGAGCTGCGGGGGGGGCGCGCGAAGGGTGCTGGGCACCGAGTGGGGGCTCCAGGGGGTGAGAGATGCTGCCACGAGGGGGGCGGCATCAGGGCCTTGGACCAGGCGGCACTGGACGGAGCCACGTGAACAAGGGGGCGGGGCCACGTGATCACCTGGAAGTGGGCACGTGACAAGGGGGTGGGCACACGCGATCACCGGAAGTGAGGCGGCATCAGGGCCTTGGACCAGGCGGCACCGGACGGAGCCGTGTCTCCGGGGGCGAGTGCAGGAAGCCCGCCGTTTGCAGACCCCGAGCCAGTTTCTTTTCGAGGTGAAACACAGTGTGCCTGGGGAGGCAGGCGGCGGAAGCCAGACACGGGGAGAATGGCGCTACACGCTGAGCCACAGACGCAGGGGAGGCGGCGTTCTCCACGCAAGGCCCTCGCCCCCAGGCAGCCGGGCTCTGCCAAGGTCATCAGCTGGGAGGGACCGCGGGACAGAGTGAGCAGCCACCCAGAGCCACTGGTGCAAGGACAGGACCCCTGTCCCCTGGGGGTGGAGAGGGGAGGGGGGGGGAGGGTGAAACCCATCAGAGCAAATGGCCAGAGGGGGAGGGGCCGCTTACCCAGCGGTCACAGGTGAGGGAGACACAGGCTGCCGGCAGCCCCGGGTTCCCTTTTTAGCTCTGCCCTTTGACTGCTGTGTGCCCTGGAGGAAGTCGCTCGCCCTCTCTGTGCTGTAGTAGCCCCAGCTGTGAACTGCTTGGCACGTGGGGTGGGAATGAGAGCCTCTCTGTTCCAGGCCTATTTCCCAGCTTCTTGCTGTGTTTTCACCCCGTCTGGCCGCCCCTGGCGTCGGGGCCCTCGGCCTCCAGCCGTGCACCTGGCGGGAGTCAGGGAGCAGGTCCTGGCCCGTGAGCAGGTGCTGGTCTGCACGTTTCCAGGGGCTTTGCCTGAGGAAACGGGACGTTGAGGGGGGTCTCACCCCAAGGGAGACAGCTCACCGGGCCCACGGCACCGGTCTCATTCTAGACCCGCGGCCGCCAGCCTTTCCACCTCACCGACCACCAGACGGTGACCGCGGGTCTACACGCTGTGGGCTGAGCACACGCCTCCCGCTGGGCCATGCTAGCCCGCTGCTGGTGCTGGCCATCGCTAGCACGGCTGTCTCCTCCCTCCTCCTGGGGTGTGTGTGTGTGTTTATAGAGGAAGGAAGGGAGAGGGAGAGAGAATCATCAATCAGCTGCCTCCTGCACGCCCCCTACTGAGGATCAGCCTACAACCCAGGCCTGTGCCCTGACTGGGAATTGAACCGTGACCTCCTGGTTCCTGGGTCGACGCTCAACCACTGAGCCACACCAGCCGGGCTCCTTGGTCTGAGTGCCTGTGTCTAAATAGTGACGAAAACGCCCAGTCGGTGAACTGAGCTGGGCCTGGTCTGTTTTGTGCCCACGCAGCTGGTTTTTATTGGGTTTGGGGCAGTTTTGTGAAAATTACAAAATGCATCTTTCGAGACCTGTAGCGCCGGGTGAGGCCCTGTTTCCTGGCTGCCCCAGGCCGCCGTCCGTGGAGGAGGAGCCGGCAGGGGGGGCGGCACCTGCGGGTCTGGCTTCGATCAGAAACACATTTTCCTGCTTGAACGTGACTGTCTTCTGACCTCACCCTCCGGGTCACGCGTCGCCGTCGGCCCAATCCTGGGAGCACCCCGTATCGTCCGGCTCCGCGCTGCTCTCAGCCTCTAGGCATGCCTGGTGCCGCGACCTTGGACAGGGAGCAGCTGCCGGTCGCTAGGAAACCGCCACAGAAACCCACGGCGGCGGCAATTCAAACTCGGGGCGGCCACGTGCGCACAGACGGAGCCGAGCGCTCTGCTTCGGTGGCGCTCGGAGCCCTGCCCGGGCGGTGGCATGTGGCGTGTGGCATGCGGCGTGTGATGTGTAGCGTGTAGCGTGTGGCATGTGGCATGTAGTGTGTAGCGTGTGGCGTCCAGTCAGCGCCAGCTCTCTGTGGAGAACAGACCTCACCTGCAGCAGCTGCAGATTTCCCTGGAATAAACATTCCCCTCGAGGCTGATTCCCAGCGAACAAGGTCACGTCCCCGAACACGGCTGGGAGAAACCGGCCTGCCCCCTCCTCCGGGCAGGGGTGCGCATACCTCCACCTGTGCCTGGGAGGGGCTGGAAGCCGCACCGGCCGCTACTCCAGTCTCCATGGAAACCCTGGATGGAGTGAGAGGAGACGAGGCGGCTCCATTCCTCGTGAGTGCAAAGCTAAGTTTAATGAGGCAGCTTTTCAAATAGACACACCGCACTCCCCTTCCTCTCATGCTGGGGCCCAGGCCGGCCACCGACGGCTCCTCCCTGCTGGGTCCCTGCTGGACGGCGGCCTCCCCGCCGTGAGGCTGCGCCTCTCCCGGCCTCCCCCCTGCAGGGCTCACGCAGAGGACAGCCGGGTGGCGGCTCCCAGCGGCAGGCCCTCATCTGAGACAGTGAACACGACGCAGGGCAGAGAGCACGGTCCGCTCACCCTGGCTTTTACGGCATCCACGGGGCTGCGAGGGGCTGGCATAGGTACCAAGGCTAGGATTTTAATAGACTTCACCCTCCCGCCCACAGCCCGGGGCACGGGCTTGCCCCCCCGACAGCCCCCACCTTCTGCCGACGGACTCGGGAAGTGAGCGCAATGGAAGCCCACGCCTTCACATTAGGCTAGCTAGATAGAACCTGGCGTGGTCAGTTCTTGCCCGTCGATCTCAGAGGACGTGCCGGACGCGAGGTGCCAGACGCGGTAAAACGCGCCTGCAAGTTCAGGCCGCAGGTGGGTGGGGACCAGCCAGCCCCCTTCCTGCCGCCTCTCCTTGGCGCCGACACCCCAGCATGTAAGTCACAAGCAGGTACCTTCAGGGTCAGACCCCAAAGAACAGTGTCCGTGTCTTTCCTGCCCCGTTTAAACCACCTTCGAACCTGGGTTGTCTGCACACGCACGTGTTTGCTGTGGGTGGGGGCGGGGCAGATGGAGAGACAAACATTGAATCCAGTGTGTGTGTTTCTATGGTTGGTCCATAGCCATTGACTGGGGAGCCAGTAGGTGTTCAAACCTCCCCTCCCCCGCCCCCTGGGGCACAGGACCAGGGCGTCCCAGCCCAGCACAAGGTAGTTAGACACGCCGAGTAATATTTGGGTTAAAGCAGCCACCACTGTCGCGTGGAGAAGAGCAGCCACGGCCATGGCCGTCTGCACTCCCCGCAGGACCCGTGTCCCGTGGCGGCCACCACTCCCGGCAGCAAGGAGCCCCGTGTCCAGGGCTCAGGGGGCAGGCGGACCCCATGCTGCCCCACCTGCCCCCGCACCGTGTCCTTGGTCATGACTGTGAGCTCTGGGAGCCTCTGGCCCGTCGAGGAGCTCAGAGCAGCTCATCCCAGGGTCTCCTTCGGTGACTAACAGGGCCTGCTCAGCGGCCCCCCCCCCCCCCCCCGGCGGAGCAGGAAGCCGCCTCCAGGAGCCGGACCGGGATTGCTGGGCTGCCAGGCGGTGGCGGGAGGCCCTGGGTCTGCCCGGAGCCCCGCCTCCCTGCTGCCCACCACCGTCTCCCGTGTCCAGCAGCAGGCGCCCCTCACTCGGCGACGGGCAGGGTGTTCTGGCTGTGGGAGCCGCCGGCCAGGCCCGAGGAGCGCAGGGAGCGCCGGTGGAAGAGCCGGGTCAGGATCTCCTTGCAGCTCTGGCGGTACTGGTGGCGCAGCAGCGAGTACACGAAGGGGTCGGACGCGGCCTTGCTGTAGGCCAAGCACTTGGACAGCACCCCCCAGTGCGAGGCGATGGGCACCGTGGCGGACAGCTCCACCAGCCTGCGGAGAGAGGGCGCGGGAAGGTCACAGGTCACAGCCGGCACGGCCCCCTGTCCAGGCCCCCGGAGCCCCACCCAGCTTCCCAGACGAGCCTCAGGTTCCCCGGGCGCCTCCCGGGAGCAATGACAGTGCCAGGACCTTCAGCGGTGACATCCTGGCCGGCGACGGTTTCACTCCAGGTGCTGCCCCAACTGCGCCCCCCACGCGCGACTTCACGGAGCCCCAGGCGACCGACAGTCTCCATGTCACATGTGAGGAGGTAGGCGCCCAAGGAGGTTAAGTCCTTGGCCTCAGGTCACCGACCGGCCAGTTGTCGCGTTGGGACTGGACCCCGGGTTGTGCGACCCTGGAGCCCAAGATCACCTAGGAAATGGCTGAAAGCGAATCGTGTCCCGGCCATTGGCTCCCAGTCTGCTGCCGGCCTGCGTGTGACCCCGGCTAGTGGCCGGCCTGCGTGTGACCCCAGCTAGCCGCCGGCCTGCGTGTGACCCCGGCTAGCGGCCAGCCTGTGTGTGACCCCGGCTAGCGGCCAGCCTGCGTGTGACCCCGGCTAGCCGCCGGCCTGTGTGTGACCCCGGCTAGTGGCCGGCCTGCGTGTGACCCTGGGCTAGTGTCCCTCCCTCAGGCCTGGAGGTTTCCTCTGAGAATGACAAGACCCCCCCTGCGAGCAGAAAGACTGACTTTGCTTGCAGCCCAGCCCGCCTCCCAGGAGGCTGCGGTGACGATGGCTGAGGGTGACTGCGAACCGTCCGCAGCTCGAAGGGCTTCTCGCATCAGGGGAGGCTGCTGGCCGGGAGGGCCTCTGCCCAGGTGGGTTCGGTCCCCTGGAGGGGCCCTGGTCCCTGAGGGCCGAGGACAGAGGCAGCTTATGTCATGGGCACCGTCTGAGGGTCCTCTGGGACCCAGCCAGCAACCCCCAGGGGAGCGGACGCCGAGCGGTGAGACAGCGCACGCCTGCCATGTGCACGAGACGTCCCCACGCGATGCCGCACACCTCTCGCGCCCGGCGCCCTTGGCCCGCGTGGCCGGCTGACCTGCTTTCCGCAGGTCCTGCCCTGGACGCCCGCCCACCGTCACAGCCCAGCGCTGCCCGCCCTGCTCCGGCGCCCCAGGTCCCGTCAGCCCGGGGGCTGGGAGCAGGGGTGTCCACGCGGCTGCGATCCCATCTAACTCCAGAGCTGGGCGCCTGGGTGTGGTCACATGACCCGTCAGCTGACCTGGGGGGGCGGGCGCTCAGCCGGGTCCCTCTGGGAAAGGGGCGCGGTCAGCACCAGCCAGGCCGCCAGGTGGGGGCCAGCGGGGACGCCAGGCGAGCCCCCCTCTTCCGGAGGAAGGACGACGCGCCGCCTCCTTCCCCGGGGCCGGCTGTCTGTCCCGCAGAGGCTGGGCGCAGGGAGCGGGTCAGCCTGCAGGGCGTCTCCGCAGGTCCCCGCGGCCCCACGCGCTGGGGATGCCGCCCGACTGCGCGGCTCAAATGCTGTCGGCGGACGCCCACCTCCCCCGGGTCCTCCAGCCGCTGCTCCCACACCCTCGGGGAGACCCTCTCGCCTCTGACCCTCGGTAAGTGCGGCTGCTGGCCCTCTCCCTCCAGGAGGCGGGACTAAGCGTGCGCAGGCACCCATGGGACCTCCCGGGAGCCCTGCAGGCGGCCAGTGGGCGACAGGTGCAGCGATAACGGGCTCATGTTCTGCCCCCGGCGCGGTGCAGGGGCTGAGCGGCCACCTCGGAACCAGGAGGTCAGGGTTCCATTCCCGGTCGGGGCACAGGCCCGGGTTGTGGGCTCGATTCTCAGTGGGGGGCGTGCAGGAGGCAGCCGATCAGTGATCCTCTCTCATCACTGATGTTTCTCTCTCTCTCCCTCTCCCTTCCTCTCTGAAATCAATACAAATATTTTTTAAAGAAAAAGATTCTTAAGGAAAGAGAGAGCCTGTTCTCCTGTAACAGGGGCAACGGGAGGAGGCTCGGGAGCCCTGCGAGGGCTTGAGGGGTTCCTGACCCACCCGGGGTGACGCCCCCACCGAGGAGGCTGCCGGGCAGAGGGGGGTCCACGGCGGACAAAGAGGGGAGCCTTCCCAGCTGGTCTGCTCGTCCCATCAGCTCCAAGGGGTGGCAGGCGTCACAGCTGAGCCCGCCCTCCTGAAGCCCATTCCACCAGCTCCGAGCCCCCCGCCCCCAGCGGTCCCAACCGCCACCCCCATGAGGCGCGGGCGGGCCGCCTGGGGAGAGTCCGTGCGCTGGGGGCGGCCAGCCTTTACCCAGGTGACCCCCCAGCACTGCTCTCAGCCTTTGCAGAGGAGGCGGCTGTCTGCCCGGTGGGCGTGGGCACAGCGCCGCCTCGGGGAGAGCGGACCTCACGCTCTCGGAGGGGCTGGTGCAGGCTGTGCGAGGCCACCCCGCCTGAAGCGGCTGAGTCCGGGCGGAGGGCAGGTGCCCACCTGGCTGGGCGTGGCGTGTGCTCCCTGCCCCCCTGCAGGTGGCCCGTGGCCCCTGCTACTGACGGGGCTGGGCGCCGGCGCTGGGCTCCCTGTGCTCAGGGGCCTCCCCCTCTCTCCCCCTTTCCTCCTGGTGAGCCTCCTGCGGTTGGTGGGCACCCGGCCCCTTCTCCTCTCTTCCCCCTTCCCTCTCGGGGGGCTCCTGCGGGCGGCCCGGGATGAAGGGTTAGAGGGAGGAGGTGGGAATCGAGCAGGAGAGACGTCACAGCCCTTTCAGCCCTGAGTTTAGGGGCAGAGAACAGGCGTGCACCCTCCCTCTCGTCGGGCCTCTCAGGTTCACGCTCACCCCGACGCTGTCTGGCGATGACAGGGCCCCGCTGTGCTCTCCGAAGCCCCGCGCCCCTCCCGCCCCTGCGCGCCCGGCTCACCTGGTGAGGACGTAGGGCGCGAAGCACAGGAGGAAGGTCCCGATGAAGGTGCTGATCTTCCTGGTGGCCCGCTGGCGCCGCCTCCGCTGCTCCTCCAGGCAGCGCTCGCGCACGCTGCACGGGAGAGGGGACAGGGCGGCTCAGGGCGGTCTCGGGGTCACCATCCCCAGCACAGGCAGCGGCCGCGAGGGCAGGCGCCCGGCTGTGCAGCCGGGAGACCCGAGGCCGAGGCCTGGCTGGGCTGTGACATCCCCTCGGGGCCATCAGCCGTGAGAGGGGACAGTCACCTAACGAGACGCACAGAGGCTGCCGTGAGGACAGAACGCACAGAGCACACGGATGCCCGGCATGTGTTTGGTGCAGCCCTGGCTGGTGTGGCTCAGTGGACAGAGCGTCGGCCTGCGGACTGAAGCATCCCGGGTTCGATTCCCGGTCAGGGCACACGATCCCCAGTGTGGGGCGTGCAGGAGGCAGCCGATCCGTGATTCTCTCTCATCACTGATGTTTCTACCTCTCCCTCTTTGTTCGTCTCTGACATCAATAAAAAATATTTTTAAACATGGGTTCGACGCCTGAAGCAGTTAGCACCGCGCCGGATGCCGGGGCAGGTGCAAACGACAACTCGTTATTACCGCTCGCCCCTCGCCGGACCGGCGGCGCACAGCCCGAGGGCACATCCCGACGCACGCTCTCTGCTCCCTAGGCGCCCGGCACCGTCCTGCCCAGTGCGTGGCCCCGGGGGAGCTGCCTGCCAGCGCGTCACCCGCCTGTGTCACGTGAGGACCCTGAGCTCCGCGAGGCCGGTGAAGCCGCTCAGCTGGGAAGTGGAGGCAGGACTCGAACCTGCGGCCGCGTGACTCACGGCTGGCCCTGCACCCGGCAACCCGGACGCTGTGCCGTGAGCGGGGCCTCCTGTCCTCCGTGCCCTCCGCCCGCGCCTTCCACCCGGAGCCGCAGCCCTGCCCGGAGCTACAGGCAGGACGGGGCAGCCCTGCTTTGTGGCTGCAGAAGAGACGCCCTGCGGGGCCACGAGCCACACGTGTCCTCGTCTCAGCGTGCGTGCAGGGGCCTGTGCACATGCGGTCCACACGTGAGCACCTGGGATTGATGGGACATGCGTGTACGTGGGTTCCTGTGCCCTGCCTCACGTGCTGCTGGTCACGCACATGCACGTCTGTATGTGGTTCTGTGGGGAGAGGATGATGAGCCTTCGTGTAATTGGTCACATCTAACGAGGGGGCGGTTCCCCGGGGACGTGAGCACGCGCCACGCCTGCGACAGGGAGGCTCGCACGTTCCTGACGGCTCCGGGGCAGGACCGTCTCAGCACTGAGGGGGTCTCTGCTTGGACACCTCAGGTCTGACTCCCTTAATGAGGAGCTTGCTTTGGGGGGGGGGGGTCACCCTTGGGGAGCTCCCCTGACCTAGCCTCCCCCATCGGTGCTCCCCGCCTGCCTCGCTCTCATGCCTTCCAGAAGCCACAGCCCCCATTGAGGGTCCCGGCCACAGAGCCCCTACCCAGGACAATGGGATACACACTAGCAGAGTCCACGGACACCTGCCAGCACTTCTTCTCCCCTCCCTCCCTTCCCTCCCCTCCCTTCCCTCCCCTCCCTCCTCCCCCTCCTCCTCCTTCCCTCCCCTCCCTTCCTCCCCTCCCTCCTCCCCCTCCTCCTCCCTTCCCTCCCTCCCCTCCCTTCCCTCCTCCCCCTCCTCCTCCATTCCCTCCCTCCCTTCCTCCTCCCCCTCCTCCTCCCTCCTCTCCCTCCCTCCTCCTCCTCCTCCCTCCTCTCCCTCCCCTCTTCCCTCCTCCTCCCTCCCCTCCTCCCTCCCTCCCCTCCCTCCTCCCCCTCCTCCTCCCTCCTCCTCCCATCCTCCTCCCGTCCTCCTCCCTCCCTCCTCCCTCCTCTCCCTCCCTCTCCCCTCCTCCTCCCTCCTCCCCTCCTCCTCCTCCTCCCTCCTCCTCCCTCCTCCCTCCTCCTCCCTCCTCCTCCCCTCCTCCTCCCTCCCTCCCTCCTCCCTCCCCTCCCTCCCTCCTCCTCCCTCCTCCTCCCTCCATCTCCTCCTCCCCTCCCTCCCTCCTCCGCCCTCCTCCTCCCTCCCACTCCTCCCTCCTCCTCCCTCCTCCTCCCTCCTCCTCCCTCCTCCTCCTCCCTCCTCCCTCCCCTCTCCCTCCTCCTCCTCCCTCCTCTCCTCTCCCCTCCCTCCCCTCCTCCTCCCTCCTCCTCCCTCCTCCACTCCCTCCCCTCCCTCCTCCTCCCTCCTCCTCCCTCCCCCCCCCCTCCCTCCTCCCCTCCCTCCTCCTCCCTCCCCTCCATCCCCTCCCTCCCCCTCCTCGCCCTCCTCCGCCCTCCTCTCCCCCTCCTCCCTCCTCCCGCCGCCCTCCTCCTCCTCCCTCCTCTCCCTCCTCCTCCCTCCCCTCCCTCACCCGTCCCTCGTCCCGCCTCCTCCCCTCCTCTCCCTCCCCTCCTCTCCCCTACTCCTCCCTCCTCCTCCTCCTCCTCCCTCCTCGTCCCTCCCTCTCCCTCCTCCTCCCTCCGCTCCCTCCTCCTCCCCTCTCCTCCCACCTCCATCCTCATCCAAACGCCCTCCGCCTCCTCTCCCTCCTCCTCTCCCGCCTCTCCCTTCCTCCCCCCTCCTACGCCCTCCTCCCCTCCCACCCTCCCTCCTCATCCCACCTCCCTCCTCCTCCTCTCCCTCCTCCTCTCCCTCCTCCTCCCTCCCCTCCCTCCCCTCCCCCCCTCCCTCTTCTTCCCTCCTCCTGGCCCCTCTTCCTCTCCCCTTCCTCCTCTGTAAGCAAAGCCTAGGTGAGCTCAGGCTGCCTTAGTCAAGTGTCCCCCCCTTCTCTCTAGGAGAGTCTCAGGGAAGAGCAGGAGTTCCCAGGGGGACCTGCACCTGCACCCCGAGCTGCCTTCCTGAAAGACCTCTGCGGGTGAGGGTGGGGTGAGGGTGCGGGTGGGGGGAACCCAGGGCTGACACTCGCCCTGCAGGGCCATCAGCTCCGAGTCCAGAGGCACAGGCAGCACTGGCAGGAGGGGCCGGACGAGGTTCCTCCCGGAATCCGGCACCTTTCAGGTGCTCCCTTAAGGACCGGCAGGGGTGCGGCCGGACCCTCTCTCCCTCCCTCCCCCCCACCTCTCCCCGCCCCCCCCCCCCCAGGACGCCCAGCGCAGGCCCCAGAGAAAGGACGGTCCGGAAGAGCAGCTGGTTCTGGTGTGAGGACCCTTCAGGAGCCCCCCCCCCCCCCCGAACGTCCAGGCGACCCAGTCGGGGCCCCAGAGCCTCTAAGGGCCGCATGTGCTGTGCAAAGTGCAAACCGCACACAAACCAGCTAAGTGCCCACTGGTTCCCCTGATGCTGCGAGGGCCTGCGTCCTGCCCACTCCCGGGGCCGCTGTGCGCGCCTGAGACCTGCCCTGGGACCCGCAGCATCGCCCCCCCCCCCTTCCCAAGAGGAAAGGGGTCGCCAAGACCGCACCTGAGTGTGGAGGAGGCATGGGTCCCCCTCCCCCCTCCCTTCCCCTCCTCCTTCCCTTCCCCTCCCCCTCCCCTCCCCGCACCGGGCGCCCTCACCCCTCGCCGCCCTCACCTGGGGTGGATGTCCACCAGCAGGACCAGCGTCTGCATGGTGATCACGTCGATGCGCCGGCAGTGGGCGCGCGCCACGCGCAGCACCTTGAGGTACGTGGCGCAGAGCACGAGCAGGGCGAGCAGGAAGCTGAGCGCGTGGAAGGCGCCGGAGAAGAGGGCGAAGCGCAGGCGCTCGTCGGGGCGGCGGCTGCACAGCGCGCAGGACGCGGAGGGCGCGTGGAAGCCGAGCCAGGAGCGCGCGAGCGCCGCGGCGGGGAAGGCGAGCGCGTGCAGCCACGTGTAGGCCACCAGCAGCGCGGCGCCGCGGGGGCGCACCCGGGCGCGGTACCGCAGCGGGAAGACCACGGCCGCCCAGCGGTCCAGGCCCAGCGCGGCCATGCTCAGCATGGCGTTGCTGGCCAGGAAGGTGTCCAGGAAGGCGACCAGGCGGCACAGGCGGTCGCCCGCGGGCTGGCGCTGCGCCACGACGGCCGCCAGCGTGAGCGGCATGTTGACCACGGTGCCCAGCAGGTTCCCGCACGTGAGGTTGAGCGTGAAGAGCGCGGGCGCGGGGCGGCGCAGGGCGGCGCTGTGCAGCAGGCAGAGCAGCACCAGCGCGTTGGCGAGCAGCGACACGCCCATGGTGGCCGCCAGCAGCCCCGCCAGCCCCGCGTCCCACGAGTTCATGGTGCGCGCTCAGGGCCCGCCCGCCGCCCCGGGACCCCCGGCCCCGCCGCCAGGGTCCCCGGAGGGCGCCGCCGCCCCCGCCCCGCGCCGCCTCCCGCCTCCCGCCTCCCGGGCGGGCACCTGGGCGCGCCGCTCCCCCGCAGCCCGCGCCGCCTCCCCGGCCAGCGCCGCCCGGAGCTGCCGGCGCTCGGATCCCGGATCGCAGCCCCCGCGCTGTCTGCTCCCTCTGCCCTCACCCCATCCCTGTCCCCGCGGCGCACCCTCAGTCAGCTCCGGCCTTTCTCTTCCTCCCCTCTCCGCTGGGCGGGCTCGCTCTCCGGTCTGCTCTCCTCCACCTCCCTCTCTCTCTCTCCTCCCTCTCTCTC